GTGTGTGTGTGTGTGTGTGTGTGTGTGTGTGTGTGAGGGGGGGGCATGACTGAGAAGGATAACAGAAGCACAGGATGGAGGGAATCCAAGGACCCACTTAAAGAGAGAAAGACAAGGGGAAAAGAGGGGGTGGTTTTTGTTTCTTGAATGAAGTGATAAATGGGAAATTTCACTCAGCTGAGATAAAAGGGAGGCTTATGGGGAGGAGTTCGCTCAAAGAGGAGCCCAAAAAACATGAAAAACGAGGACAGTGAGAAACACTGCGAAGGAGCCAGAGTGAATGACGTGCGCTGACAGCAGAGAGAAAAGGAGAAAAAGAAACACGCACGGGGGGGGAAGGGAGAGGAAAAATGGGTTTGAGCTCTGGCTGGATGCGTTCCCCGGCACAATACCTCTGCTGGCGAAACAAGTTTGTTCCCATCACTCTTCAGAAAGAAATATGTGGAAAGAGGGAGTAGAGAGCGATCCCCAGAGTGATGTTTGCTCACTGGGTCGAGTGCGTCTGGCTCTGCAGGTCCCGGCAGGGTGCAGCGGAGGGGATGCTGTACTCTTTGATCCCTGTGTTCTGTGTGCAGAGGTGCTGGAGGACTGGGCTCAGCCTCCCTAAAGGCCTGAGCCGGGTCAGAGTTTATTGTTAAAATGGGTCACAGCTGTCTGAGCCGGTACATTTTGGTTTAAGGTTTACGGTCTCGGAACGGGGAATGTGTCGATGCAGTTATTCCGTCCCTCTCTTTCCGACCGGCAGTCGTTGGGTTTATTTATTGGAAATGGAAACGCGCATTGTTTTTTGCTGGGTTGTTGGCCTCTACTGGCGCTGGCTCTTTACCAGCCAGCTATGTCGGATTGATCATTTGACACTGGACAGCTATGGCTGGTTATCAAATTTGTTTCTTCAACTGCAGCATCCAGCTTCCATTTAAACCTGTGCTACAAAAGTGGTACGAATTAATCAAAAGAGTTGAATTGTGGGATGGTCAGCAATCAGAGTGGTGCTTGTCATAAGGTTTTATCAAGATCGAAGATAGTGATAAAGACTTTCACTTTTAGCCACAGTAATTACATCTTAATTATAAAAATTCTTTACATGTGTAGGCTGTTTTTTTGTTACTACTGCATTGGGTGTGGCTTTTATGGGATGTCAATGACAGGGCTTACAGTAAACATGTGATAAAGCCTTAAATGTCATACTAATATCACAGTAATAATGGCTTAGGCATGTTAAAGCAGCCCTGTAAATAGATTACATAGATTAGTTCTTTTTAGTGCATAGATTAGTGCTTTTAATTACAACCTTCTGAAATTAAAGGCAGAGCAAGGTTCGGAGTTGGGTGATGAGCTTCTGATCATACCACTGCATCAGAGCTCAACTGTCTTGACCCCTCTCCTACAATCTCTCAAGTTTGTAATTCAAAATAAAAAACAGATTCAAAGTATAATGTCCGAAGGCTCGTTGGTTCATCCTGGTTCAATCCGCAAAAAACACTTTGCAAAACTCATATTTGACATGGTCAGTGAAAACGGTGCAAACATTTATCAAACTGGCCTCAAGGTAGAACACGGATTTGCAACAGTGGTCCGAATTCAGTGGGTGTAGATTGTTAAAATTCACATAACAGAAATCGTAAAGTGATATTATATGAAAGATGTATTAATCTCTAAAAGGCTTCAAGCAGTCTGATTTTCACAAGGTTTACTCTGCCCTATCTAAATGTTGGGTGCTTTTCTGAGTCCTATGTGTGTGTGCTCTATACCCATGGTTTTAACCAAAGTGATTACCTCTGTGACGAATACATTACAGTTTCTGTGATTGCTTTGCAATATAAATTCTTTTGTCTGTTGTCAATGAGCATTTTTAATACCGTGCAATGGCTGTGGGAAATGGAAATGCGTGCAGATTTCTTTCTCTGTGAACCTCTTATGCTGTGTTCATCTTAAACCGCTGCCATAAACACCATATACGGAAGTAATTACAAGATGTAAACACATCCATGGCCTGTCACCAAAATGTAAGCTGCAAATAGCATCGGTAATGGGTTTTGATGATTTTCTTTCAGCTGCTTTTTTAACGGTTCCTTGAGACAACTCGAATCACAGCAGCTGATAAATGCTCGAATTCAGCCCCGAACTGTCGAATTGCCTGCAAAGTAGCAATAGGTGGATTGGGACATCGGTTAATTTCCTTTCTTCATTGGCAATGAGAGTGATTACCCAATGCCAAGATGCTTAAGCAAAATACAAAGAAGGACATCTTAATAGGAGACAGGCTTAAAATGGCTGGGAAGTTTAAAAAAAGTATAAGAATGATAATTTTTTTATAATCTTTTTTCAAAGACTTTGAGCTTCAGTGTGCTTACTTTATCTCTAAGGGCCACTGGGGGTCCATTTTGCTATTAGGAATGAAGCAGCTGAGTAAACCAATAACTAATGTCCCCAATCCCAACTGCACGGTTGGCCTCATACTGGCTAATCCTTTAATTGGAGCAGCAAGGCTGCTGGAGGTGCTGCAGTCTTGAGTGAAAAGTCCAGCGAACCGGAATGCACGGCACCATATCGATGAATTATTTATTCTATTACGGACTTGAATTGTATCAAATTTGAATTGTTTAAAAGCATTTAAGAGAACTCTGATGATTTCTCTCTCCTATGCGCGTCTGCTGCTTTAAAGTCTGATTTTGTGCGCTGTCACGGATTTATTTAGTCGTAGAAACAGGAAGGAAAAGTTGTTAACGTCTTCCTGAGAGAATCATTGAGACAGTTTTATTACTCGGGGGCTGATGTGCCTGAAAGATAAGGTCCAATTTTATTTTTTTAATGCTGCAGCAGTCCTACTTGGCTTTTCGGCAATTTCAAGATGAGTCTGAGACCAATGAAGGTGATGATGTCTTCTTTAAATCATACCTTTATTTAATGGCACAAATCTTTTTTATGTCAGTATCGTGTCTAAATAGCTGTGAGTAAAAAATTAATGCTTAACTTGGGAAGAAGCCAGCGTGAGAGGCTCATATTCGAAAGTTCATGAGTTAAAGTATGTCACTAAAAGGATTATCAGGCTACCAGATCACTGCACCAAAGATGGAAGGTAGAGATGTGGATGTTTTGTTATTCAGGGTGGGTATCAAGGCAGCCTATGTGTGTGCGATGTGTGTGTTAAAAGAGTATGAACATGATGTCATGGCCAGGTTTAGGCCATCCCTCTCAATTTCTTCACACTATCTCTGTGTCCCTCCGACTGGCTTCATAATAGACTCGACTGTTGTCGGCTGTGGGGAAATGGGAACATATCCAAGGTTTGATTCACTGCTGGATGGAGGTCAGGACTGAGATTGGATACTATATGCCTCAGGTGGCGTGTAGCAAGGTGCTGCTATGTTACAGGAAAAAGAGAAAAAGGAGTTTAGAAATACACCATATGCAATGATAAAATTCTGGTTGGAATTCCCAGAGTGATCATCCGACTTCATCGAGCTCCGTCCACGGCTCAGTGAAGGCAGCGATATCAGATCTCATTTGGAGTGTAAACAAATGGCTTCTGCTCATGTGCGTCCTGCTGTGAAGCGTGCAGGATGACCTCTGCGGGTGCTTTGCTGATGGACATTCATTCAGAATTCTGTGCAGCTTTGGCCAGGACGGCGGCCACAACATTCTGTCACAACACTTCGCCATACAGGGGAAACCTTCATTCATTTTCCAACCTAATACTCGCAGTCGAAACTCATCCGCTGACTCTGTGAGGACTCCTTGACCTGAAAAGCATTTGGTGTTCCCTGGCCTATGCAATCTCCAAACCTAATCTAAGTTTAGATTGACTGAGACGCAATGGACTCGTGAGTGAAAACTCCACACACAAATGTGTGACTAAAGATATCAGGAAAATGCGGTCCCGGCTGTGGAGTCGGTCATTGTCAATTTCCAACCTTATGCAGTTTAGTAATGTGTTATCATGTTATTTCCCAAATCTAAGTCACTATTCTGTAGTTTTTCACTGCTCTGACGTTGAAATATTTGGTGGATTTCTTGCTTTACAAGATGTCACATTCATTTAAAAGTATTCTATTGAGGGGGGGTGTTGTGGGTGGAAGGTAGAGTTCTTTGGTTGTTCACAGCAAATCAAGTCTGGGTCACACCACACCATCCTGTACTTGACATCTGCTCTGAATCTTAAAAACTCTCCTAGCAACGTTTAAATCATTCAGGTCCTTCCAGAGTGTTTTGCATTTTGAAGTCTTAACACCCACATTCCTCAATGCCCAGGGGTGGATTCAAGTCCATCCTCTCGTCGTCTCCCTTTATGAATTTTGATCTCTATTTCGTGTGTAAAAGGTTTGGTGCCTTTTTTCTTGCCCTGCTGGGATGCTATGCCCATTACAAAATCTATACAGAGACATCCATTCCAGACCCACAGAAATGCAGTTCTGTGCTTTTAAAGGGACAAAAGCTGGTTTGGCTGCAGAAAAAAAGTAATTATCTTCATTATTTTGAGGGCAGAGAGTGTATCATGGTAAGATCCTATATTTATCAGCAATAGCAGGAGCAGAGTCATCTGTTATGAACAAAAATTACTGACTCAAGTTTATCTCCAGTAATCATCGCTTTATTATACTCACTTCTAACCTTTTATCAGAAAACAACATTTTCCTTTCTACCATGTTTTTTTTTCTTTAAATGCATTCTAAATCTAATAAGAGGCAACCAAATCAATATTTTCCTCAGTAATGGAACAATGCCGCTTCTGTGAAATGAATTTGAGCCGCATTCCTTTCTCTGTCTTCAGTCAAACACAACCCACCCACCCCCCCGCCCCCGCCCCTTTTCTTCCTGTCTTCTGACAGTTGGACGTTTGACATGCTGGTTCGAGCCTTTTAGTCATAACTGATGAGTATCTCTAGCAGAAGCTTCAGCATCGCTCTGACTCATGACCACGGCTGTCAGAATATTTATTTCCCTTTGCTTTGTCATACAGTACATGCAGAGTGTCTGTGAGGGACCAGAGAGTTGCTGTGAAATCTGACACCAGCTCTCCCAAAAGTTCGGGCTTTTTCTGCAGAAAGTATTTCTCAGTTTCGTGGAAAAGCGAGCCTTCCAGGAGTTTCTCTGGTTCTTGTAAATAAGAAAAAGATTATGGGGAAAAAAAGACTGTGAATTGATGTGTTTCCCCATCTTGTATTTCATGAGCAGCTCTTAGTACCACTTTATTGCAGCCCTTTCATATTTTTCCATCCTAAAACCTACCGGTAAATGGATTGTGAATAAAGATTACTTACAGAAATTCAATTTTTTTATTCTAAGAAAAGTCGATAAGAAATGAAATCTTAGATGAAAGTTAGTGGGGGTATTTTCCTTTGAGGATGGAGGCCGATATAATGTAAAATTACATCTATTCTCATAAATAAATAACTTAGTCATCCGTTGGAAATGTGCTTCATTGCATAATCATTTAACCTAAAGTGTTGACACATTAGCAACACTTTCAGTGAGTTGTTGATTCAAGTTTGATTCATGAGATTTACTTTCTTTGTCTCATAAAAGATCAAATGTGACTCAGGAAATTATAGATAGTCAGCTCCAAACTCACTGATATGGCTCGATATAATTAATTTCATCACCGTTTCATCCTCTTCTGTGGACTGACTAATCGATTCCGCCAGGCAGATGCACAGCAGTTACATCTCACATCTGTTCCTTTCACTGTTTACGCATCATTGCACCTCACGAGCGCTTCATTTTCCTGTTCTTTTTGCGAGCCAGCAAAAGAGATTTTTAAGGGACATCACATCATCAACATCGCATGCAAACAGTGTTCAGCTTTTCTATTTGCTTCGTCTTTCCCCTAAAACTGAATAAGCATTTCTTGAGATTTCTTCGAGAGAGTGTCTTTGCTTTGAGGATCATGAAAATGGACTCCATCACGAGAGGGTCTGAATAATACATATGTGTTTTTTATAAATGAATCGTAAAAAATTATGCTGTACTGTCGACATGGTTTCAGTTTGAAGATTTATAAACGTATTCGTAGCTTGTACTCTGCCACAGGTAGCCCAAAGAGTGCCTTAAGGGTTAGCAATTAAGTAGGTGAAACGTAGTAGAATGAACAAATTACTTTATTGAAAACGAGAATAAAACTAAAATAACCAGACATTTGTTATTTTATATAGGTTTAACTTTGACTTAAAGCCATATGCACTCAGTTAAAAAAGGTCATCAAAAGTCATTTTGGTACCATCTGTATTGCATGCACACTCCGTTTAGGTTAATTAAAGCCAAAAGGCTCTTTTTCTTTCTCAGTTAATCACACCGCAACACTTTGCATGGGAAGTTTGGGGTTCAAAAAGACAGTTTTTCTAAAAGCTGTGATCTTCTTCTAATCTTATCAAATACATTTGGTGCCTGAACCAAACAGTCAATGAAAATTAAACAGTAGTCTGACAACTAAGTCATTCATTTCGGAAATATGTAACTATTAAAAAAGCTAAATAAAAGAAAATGTCTTTTTGACTCGTATGTATTTGATATTTTTGCTTTTTTTATCTCTTTGAATACATACCAAACCATTAAGAAAAACACAAATCTGTCAGCTTTAATTAGCAAGTTCTTAACAGTGGCAAGTGGGATAATTCATGGGTCAACAAGGTGAAAAGCAAAGAAAACATCTGCTCAGAACGATATCCATTGTCTTGGATATGGCGTTTAGCTGCATCGAAAAGAAGATAATAGTACAGTTTGACTTCAGTTGTATACTACAGAGCAGAGTTAGATAATCAAGAACAGCACCAACATGAGCAAGAACAGCTTATGCAGCAGATTGTCCCACTACTCGGCCGGCTGTTACACATCCACTATCCGGCCAATCGGCACATGCTGGCAAGCTCGTTTATGCATGCCTCCTGACAGGTTAATACAAATGGCTGCTCAGACATTATTCATACTTAAATGTAACGATACTGTGTTGTGTTCTGCAACAGGAGGTAGTTGGGCGTTACGTGACAGACTGAAAACAAGGGCAACAACTGATCGCTGATTTCAACAAATGACAAGCTGCTGGTCAATTGAGTCGGAAAATCTTGAAAATGGTGAAAATCTTGAAAGTTGTTTCTGGCAGTTAGTTCATACAAAAAGTGAGCCAAGTGCTCTTGGATGCATGTTGTCAACACGCAGCCAAGGAGCACTACAAGTCATTTTGTGGCTGATTGTTGTATATTAGAACAATCTATACCCATTTCTTACAAGGAAAAATTGGAGAATCTACTTAATAGCATGCGTCATGAAATCTTATGTCCTTCAGAAAAAAAGGAGTCTGATTGCTTGATTTAAATGATTTCTTTGTCCCCTTACATTTTTCAATTAGAACAGTCTAGCGGCTAGTGGGGAGTGATTGGAATCATGTGGAAACACTCTGCAATCACACAACTTTCACTTCATGAGGCTGCTTTAAAAAAAAAAACTCACCTGTGTTCACCTGTTCTCATGCACTCTGAATGTATTTGGCCCAAAACAGACTACCTCCACAATGATAAGGAGGGAAAAGCAGGTGCAGACTTGACATAAATGAATAATCTGATTCTTTTTTTCTCCCCATCTGTATGTATGAAGGCTGTGTGTATGTGACATGGACAGACTTGGAAGAAATGAATTCATCGGGGAGGTGAGAGTGGCTCTGAAGAAGCTGAGAGAGGGTGAGACCAAACGTTACAACATGGGCCTGGAGAGAATCGCTCAGGTTTGTATGTGCGTGGGACTGTGCATGGACGGCTTACATGCATTCTAAATGAGTTTCTCTGGCTCTGTACCCACAGTTTTAAACGTGTCCTACATACACTGTGCTCTGACGTTATCGGGCATACATTACAAGTGCTGCAATTTATTGCATAACAGAAATTCCTCACTGTCATTTCAGAATAAAGAAGCCAACAATCAAATGGTGGAGCAGGGAGCGCTTGTGGCGGAGGAGGAGGTAAAACTACCGTCGGATTTATCGCCATCATCAATCTTACTATTAGAATTTTTAAGCAAAACCTGGCTCACTGTCATTTCTGATTAGTCTCCTGTATTGAACATATTGTCTTATCTTTCGAGCTTCCCTTACCGCCTATTCATCCTTGCCATCTTTGAGAAAAACATAGTTTAATTAGACATTTCTAATCTATGTCCGAGGCGTGAACTTTACCAGTGTGATTAGCAGCTGCAGAGACTGTATATCAGCGGTGTATAAATCACACCAGTGCTGCAAATCTAGTGTTTCGCATCTCATTTCCCATCATGGTTTTAGAAAGACAGAAGACTAATATCGTCTGGTCTCCGATTAGATTCAGCTTTTGCTTCAACCTGAAGATTAAAGGGAGAATAGGGTGTCATCTTATCAGGCTCAGATGAAGCCGGCATTTACAAGCCTTAATTTGAAACCGACAGACAAAACCGGTTCCGATAAGCGGAGAAACAGCGTAACAAATCTCACGTGTTCTGTTTTTCTTTATGTTGTTTTTGTTCATCTTTACGTTGTTTCCATGAGCAAATTGCTCTGAAGGAGTACCAGGATGTGTGTGAGACTGTGGCTTTCTGTGTGCCCAGCGTGGACGGATCCTGGTGTCACTGTGCTATAACACAGAGAAGGGCTGCCTGCTGGTCGGGATCATACGCTGTGCCCATCTGGCAGCTATGGACTCCAACGGATACTCTGACCCCTTTGTCAAAATGTGAGTCCCATCCAATATTCATTATGTCCTACAAATTACGCTCATGTGTGGATTTTTCCCCGTCATCAATTTGCAATGAATACAGTGAGAGTAGTGGTGTTTCAGGGCAGAGTGTGAAGATGAAGAGTCTCACCCTTGTTTGGACTGCAGGACCGAATCCATAAATCCATATCGGAGTTGTGTCCAGACTGACGTGTCTTGTCATGTTAACAGACAGTATCCTGTGGTTACAGTTTAGGTTGGGCGTTGTGACGTGTTTACGAGTGTCTGATCTGAAAAAAGGACGCAGTCAAAGCGCTCCCACTTTTGGAGAATCAGGGTGGATTTTGGAAGGTTAAACTATGCTAACAGCCACCTAAAACAGGGCCAGTCACAATGAAGCTGAGCAAGTTCTCAGCAGAATTGTGAGTTACAACTGTGCAGAACCAGCACATGTTAGTCCAAGAGAAACACAGATACTCTGACAAAAGAAAATTGATGATTTACTGCTTGATGCACAAGTAGTACAATATTGAATTGATTGTGTGCACCATTTGATCTAACTACAATGGCAGTTTTTTAAGTTTGATTTGTTTTAGATGCTGTCTGTTAGTATTTAGACTGGCTCCCCTGTCAAAATGCTTGTTCCAGTAATCTCCACATATATATACAAAGTGACAATGATATCAACTATGGAGAGACGCTTGGTAGAATCCAGTGAGTATTTGCAGAGTATATGCAGAGGGCTCCTAAAGGGATGAAGGAGCAGTCCACTGACAGACACTGAGACAAACCGAACTGGCTGCTCGGGAGCTGCGTCTGTGTGCCATGCTGGAGGGAACGGACCATTGCAAGGCTCTTCGCATCAGTGTAGCATCAGAAACTGACCTTTTTCATTCCTACCAATCCATGCGGAAAGGTTCCAGATGATATCTGAATGCACATATCCGATTCGATCACTTTCAAACAGCAGCAAGAAGAAGAACTAACCATGTCAAGAAATATTTAGGAGTCACTCCATCTTTGAGAGGTGATTTGTCCATCTTATCAACAACCCTTGAGGCCCCATGAGGCTCCCATGACGCCTTTATAGGGATTCTATAGTAGGAATGGAATATGACGTGGGGTGTTCTTTTATTGTTGCAGAGTATCTCAATTTGAAGTTTATAGTTTGCTTTTCAGAATTTTATGAAGTATCTACTAGTTACTCTTCCAGAGAGGTTACAGAATCATTCCACTATCTTTTTCTGTAACAGCAGAGAAGAGATAATCCAATCAATATGGCAACAGAGAGTTCACTGTGGATTTAGCTTGTGGTTGCAAGCATAAAGCCTTTTCCTATATATACTTTTGAGGAGTACACCACCAGCTCCACTTCTACCGTGTTGACTGTGAGGTTAATGCAGGTTCTGAGTAACACTTTCAAACTTCAAAGTCTCCACGTATGCTGACAATGTCTTGATGTTTACTTCATAGATCTGACGGGAAAAAAAGTTTAAAAAAAATAATATATGTTACATATATGAATATACATATGTTATCATTTTGATCAAAAGTACACAAGTGCACAGATTTCTGACTTCTGGAAACATAAAATAGCAACTATTTTTCCTGGTTTGGATTTGGGTGAGTTTAGAGGCCTCTGAGTATGCTCAGTGAACCAGGAGTTGCTTTGTTTCACACTTTCTTTGCCCTTTCACCAGCCTGACAGGCTTGACGGGGCAAAGTCACATGCCCTGCCGCTACATCAGCATGGCACCACACCGACCACAAGTCAAAAGAATGTACAAGGAATCCAAGCTTCAGTTGCTTCAATAAAATCTCGAGCAGATTAACAGCAATGCCTCTTGGAGTTGAAATTGGTGCCTCAAAGCTATAATGATATAAGTGTGTGATGAAGGTGTCAGTCATACTATGGAATGAAATTAGATGCAAATTAAATTTTTGTAATTACGCTATATCATTAAAGCAGTGAAGAAAATCTTGGCTAACGCACGACTAAAGTCTCAAACACACAGCCAGAGAGACAAATAGATTGTGATCATCCTTCATGGAATGCATGGTGACAGATGGCAGAAAAAAACAATTCTACATCGCTAAAGTTTCATCTGCTCAATACACTTAAATACCAGCGGACCAGAAAAGGAGAGCTCCCACACAGGAAAACCACCTCTGTAAACAGCCACCTCCAAGAGTAGGAGGCAGTCAGGGAAGAGCAGATTAGGAGGGCAGTAACTACTCCTGTAGAAGAGCTTTCTCAGCCTGAAGAAGAACTGAAGTAGTTAGGATTGTATTTTTTATCATTATTATTATCATTGTTATTATAATAGTCATTAGTATTAGAAGTGTTACTGAAGTTACACTGAAATTCGTACTCAAGTATAATTAGTCCAGTTATTTATTTTTATAATTCTGGATGAATGTTCACTCTATTCTGGCTCAGGGCATGCCGTGTGCCTAACAGGTTTAAGAAGGATTATGTTTTTATGGTTTAAGATGGAAGCAGAAATCTGCATTGCAGTCAAAGGCTATTTTTCTGCAGGTGCCTTTTGTTCTTTACGCTTGCACTCATCTTTGAGTTTTTTTTATCCTCATTGCTTTATGAATCTGTTTTCACCAGTCTTGACAGTCGGCTGAAAATGCTAATTAAATGCATCCAGAGATTATCAGGGCTTTTAGTTTGATCCCCCTTATGACACTTCTTGCCTACTGTGGCCCTTTGGGGGTTTGTTCTACTTAAAATATAATAAAACTTACATGGTCCAAGGAAAAAGGAAATGCATACATTGTGTCCCTTCATTCTCTAAGTACAGCTCTGTCAGGTTGGAAATGGTCTTATAGGCCTGAAAATTCTTTTCAAAATCATAATGCCTTCAGGTACCAGAGGGACAACTTGGCCCATCATTAGCATACAACACAAAACAAAAACAAACAGCATTTTGCATGATTTGAAAGTCAACAGAAATAAAAAAGCTTTTATTTAAATTTTTATGAAAAATCTGTGAAGTGTATCTAAGTTGTGCTCAGCCACCTCTATCATAACTCTTGCTTTTGGCACTTTGGTTAGTTGGATTTTTTTTTTTCCATTTTGCCACAATTTTTCCTCTGTTTTCCCTTCATGTCCATAACAATCAGCCTTTAAAAAATATACTGTTGGCCTATCTTTTCTCTCTCTAGACCAAAGATTTTCAGTGACATTCTTTTCCTGTCACACTGAAGATAAACAGAGACAGACCCAAAAGCAGAACATGACCGCTGCAGCAAAAAAAAAAAAGCCATAAGGATGGAAGAAGATAGAGAATCTGGCAGGCTGAGTGCACAGGGTAAAGAGTGGGCAGGCAGAATGTAGTCTGATGAAGAACAAAACTAAGCACCAAGGCTAGCTGGCAGTGGAATAGGTGCCTGAGACACTGGGAGGCAAATGTTCACAGCAGAACTGAGCTGTAGAGCAAAATCACAAATCACTAAATGGCCTACAGCTCCACAATACTTGACAATTCCGTCTGGCGATGACTGGGAGGCAGACTGGGTAAATATGCAGCAGGACTGATGTAAAGATAGACAGCAGATGTGCCAGTGTCAATGCTTAGAGGCCACGCCCACATCAGACACCAAGACAAAATGAATGGGATTGAGGGGAACCTAGCAGGGAAGACACAAAGATTATCAAGGCACTTTTAGTTCTGAACTCTCGTTCAGGCTTTAGAAGCTATCGAGTGATTAATATGTGAGCTGAGATATGTGGAAACTAACTTTTTCTGGCATAAAAAAACACATGTAAGAAGCACAGTGATATGCTTTGCAGGTTGACGACTTTTCAAGATTTCCTTCATTCGTCAAGTAGAGATCTTTAGTCGGTTATCAAAACCTCTCTTGCATAATTGTTGATTGTACACTGTAACTATTTTTTGCATGCAAATCCTTGCATAACTTAAGCACCAGCTCCAGTTACTTTGTCTCCTCCTTACCCATTTTTTGTTATTTTAAAGGACTACTTTTGTTTTGCTTTTTTGGGGTGTTTCTTTTTTTTTTCTTATGTGATTTTGACTACCCTCTATAACATTAGAGTGTTCTTGTGAGGACTAAATGTGGTGTGTAATATTCAGCAGATGTTTTTGCTGCTCTGTGTTGTCTTCAGCCCCATCCTTTCAAATCTAATTTGATTTAAACTGAAAGTGGCAGTCAAGGAGGCACGCAGAGCCACTCTTAACTGCACCTCTACTTACTTCAGCATTTTTCTAATTGTACACCAACGAAATGTCTTATTTAACATAAGGACGTGGGCCACTAGAATCTGAGATGGTGGGTTTTTTTTGTGCTGTCACCTCCTGAGAGAATTAGCAAATCTCTTGAATGTATTCCACTTATGAATAATCCTTTTTAATGAAGAACAGTAGACCCTTGATAGTTTGTTTTTCTTTAAAAAAAAAAAGGTTTTACTGCGAGTGGCATAGGGAAAGTCGCAGGCATATTATATATTTTCAAATCAGTTTGAAGCAGATTTGTCCCGGACACCATCGCATCACAGCAGGGGGTTCTGGGTACCCCGGGCGACCCCGAACCTTTCTGTGTGGAGTTTGCATGTTCACTCTGTGTCTGTCCCACTGTCCAAAAACCGGCATGTTAGGTTGATTCTCACCTATTGACCACTGGGATAGGCTCCAGTCCCCCCGCGCGATCCCATTTGGGAATAAGCGGTTCAGAAAATGGATGGATGCAATATAAACATGTGCCATTGTATGTGGAACATCTGGACACAGTAACAGTGGTTTGGACACACTTTTCTACACAATTTGAATGAATGAATGTAACCTTCGACTGTTAGAGCTGCTTTTCAGCCGTGGCTACATTCTTTATCATCATGATAACTGAGGTAGCTCTTATCCCTGGCGCCTCACAGCGAGGGGTTTGAATCTCAGGGGCCTTTCTGAGTAGAGTTTTTTTATGTTGTTGTGTGTGTGCATGGACTCTCTCCGGGTCCCCTGGCTTCCTCCCACAGTCTAAAGAATATGGGTGTTAATTGCTTCAATGGATTACTGGAAATAGACCGTGGGAGTGAGTTTGTTTGGTTGTCTGTAAACTGTCCAGGGTGCAACTTGTGCCTTGCTCAATGAAAGATGATAAGGGCTCTAACAACCCTACTAGGAATAAGCGGTATAGAAAATGAATAGACAGACAACTGAGGCGGTTCTGTTGTATTATATTTAATACACTAATACCTTTATATTAGATCTACTCCTCATGTTTGAGCTGGATTCTGGCGTTGGCTTATGGACTCATGCCAGTTTACAAAACTTTCCTGTTTTCCACTCAACTGACAATTTAGGGTCAATACAATACTAAGAGCTCTCACTCATCATTGATCATTTGAGTTCTTAGCCTGTTACTCCACATCTTTCAGCAATTTTCAGAAAGATAATGTCTTCACTATCAAATCGTAATTACCATCTTTAAGGTTTGCTAAAAGTAACATTTTTAAAAAGACATCAGCTGTCCTTGGAGCTGAACCTGAGGTGTCTGGTTCTGTTAAACAAAGTCAAAGAAAATGTTTAGAATTTGTTGCCAGAGACTGCATTTGGTATCAAATGTTAAGGATCGCTATTCTTACCCTGTTGTTGTCGACTGTACTGTATATGGTGTGTCTTTTGAAGAGCTTGCCATTTTTATTGCCATCCTCACTTGCTCATATAACTCAAACTCCATGAGAAAAAAAACCCAAAAAACACTTTGCCCCATTAACAAAGACAAAAGCCGTTGCAAGCTGTTGAACTATAAATGTGGTGGTACAGCACAAAAAGGCTTGTTTGGTCAGGTTGCAGCAAGCATCTTATTTTTTTCAGAAAACAGTTTTTTTTTTACTTGGGGGGGATAAGCCTCACATATCTCTGAGAAGCAGCCGACTTTGTTAGGAATTACCATTCAAATGTTTTATGTTAAATGAGGCGTAGTTTGGTTTCCTTCTCTACAGCCGGTCTTTTTATTTATGTCGACATAATCTCGAAGGCCGTTGTCAAACTGGTGTTTGGAATTCTTGAGGCTGAGCTCGCTCGGCACCACGTGTGAGGTGTGATTTGGCACAGCGTGGACTGAGAGACCCCAGGTGGCTTTCACCTCATCTTCTCACATTCTGCTGGTCAAATAGATGCTTTGTTTGGCCGGCTTTTTCAATTGATTGCTCCTTTTCTTCAAGTTTCCTTTATTTGTTTGTTGAGAGGGCAGTCAGACCATTGTATGACTGTCAGGCATCTGGAAGCTGGATGCTGATTACGCAGCTCATTGTGAAAATGACCTTTTAAGATGCTAAACGTTCAGCCGTGACTAAATGTGAGCGTCTGACTGGAGGCAAGGCACTGTTTGGCAACCCAAAGAACTTAAATTAGGGGGCATTATTGTCTCTCAAAGAAGCTCCAATATTCATTAAACTTCACGCATCACTGCTCATATGTACTGGCATTTTAAGCTTTATAATAAGATAAAATTACAAATTTCTCAGTGATGTGGTAGGTTTTACAAGTTTTTAACCGCATCTCTTAGATCATTCCAAATTCCCCTGTGATCATGCTGGTGGTGTCAGTTTATTCTGAATGAGGCAGTTTCATAAGGATTTGTATTCTGACTGGACCGTGATTTTAGGAGCATTTATATAGTCCACCGTTTGAACTCCAATGGTGTCACAAGCAGCTTCACTGGACTTTTGTTTTCAGGGAAAAGGGTCTTTTGACTTACCTGGAAACATATCAAATGAAATATTTCTCTCTCAGCCTCTCCACAGCAGCTGGTAAAGGTGCCCTCAAACTCCAAATTAACTATAATGTCTGCTAATTTCTGCTTGATGTCGTGTCGCCAAGAGGCTGTTGAAAATGACCAATGAGTGCGCTTGTTTCTTGTGCGTAGGAGCACAGAATCTTCACGGCATTTTTCTGTAGCTGATAACAACAAAAAACGTTGAAAGTGTTCAACGGCCAGCGCTCTGCTTTGGCCACCTTTTATATTTGTAATGTCGCCCTCCGATTTTCTTCCCCACCTCAATCCCTCCGTCCTTCACTTGCTCTGATTCTGGATCTGCAGTGACAGCCCTCCAGCCCATCTCATGCATCAGCTGTCAGGCCAGGGTTTGTCAGTGGCGGGGGAGAAGCTGGAAGAGCGAGATATCTCACCGTCTGAACATTTCGACTCGAAAATTATGCTGATGATGACTCCTAATGCCCTTCGGCAATCCTTCTGTTGCCTATTCGCGGCGGCGAACGCTCCTGCAACCTCTGCATGATTATGATCTTGCTGTGGTCCACATTCTCTGTGTTTCATCCTCTCGCTGTCCCCTGCCTTTGTTGAAAAGACTTCTGGGTCACGATGGAATTCAGCGAACTTTTCGTCTTTTTGTTATCCTGACAGCCAGCCACTGTGGGTCAAACAAGAAAGAAAAAGCAATTCAGATAATGCTTTGATCTCAGAAATAATGCAGATGTGTCCCTGTTTGAATTATATATGAAGGGTTCATACCTTTCTTGTACGAACCAGTTGCAGACGATTCCGCTGTCTTCTGCTGGGGATCAGTGGCATATGCAGGCCATCAATGCAGGAAGTGGTTAAGACATCGTATGGAATGTCCTAATGGCAGTGTTTTAAAATCTGAATTTGTATGTGTTAGGATGACAAACGGATGTAAACGAAAACATAGGAAATGGGTTTATTGGGACAGTCAACCACTCCGATCTGTTTTTGGCCAATGGCAATTATATTATCTCAAATTCGGTAAAGACCCAACTTTTTACCAGTGGTGTTTGCCTAGTTAAGATGTCTCTGTTTTGCATGTTAAAAATGATCTAATAATCATAAGTGCTAACGGCGCTCTGCTAAATTGGTTCATTTTTCACTTTCTGTTTCTCAGCATCTTACAGCCAGATATGGGGAAAAAGTCAAAGTACAAGACCACAGTGAAGAAAAAGACTCTCAATCCCGAATTCAATGAGGTAATACATTATTCTTGATTCCTATCAACTACAGCTCGAGAATGCAACCCAGCTCTTAGTAGCTAAAATTGTTTGGAATGAGAAAAATATGCCATTTGAAAATCACTAAAAGTTGCAATCTAAATGAAGAAATTCAGGCTCCTTTGAATACTCTATTCCTGCCTGACTGATATGAATATGCTTTTGTGTACACCACCTGCACAGGAGTTTTCATATGAAGTATCCTTGGACCAGCTGGCAAAGAAAACCCTGGAGATCTCTGTGTGGGACTATGACTTGGGAATGAGCAACGACTTCATAGGTAGGCTGTGGAGAGGAGAAGCAGCAGCAAAGAATCTGAATGTGTTCTAATGAACCAGAGAAACTGAAAAAAACATTAAAACCAGGCCGAGTGTGGGTGGAGAGAGGAGTGGGGGGGGGGGGAACTAAGATATGAGGGGGTAATTATGATGCTTGAGGGGAATGAGTGAGCGAGCAAAGAAGACTTTGAGTGGTGCAGGAAACAGAGAGAAGAAATCAAAAGAGAGGATGTGTCTCTCTGGATCCATATCCTTCATGTATTTGGCACATCAGATGGCTGCAGCTTAATCAGACTGCTGAACAGCTTTGCTGCGGCCTGGTGTGTGTGCGTGTCAAGGCGTCGAAGCACATGGGAGCTAAAAAAGGGATGGAGAACCAGTGGGGAGACATAGTGGGAATGGATTACCACCCTGCTAGCTGGAAGGTCCTCAGATCAAAGCATTTTACTTTCTCTAATGTGTGTGCGCACTTGTTAGCATGAAGTGGAGGGTGTGTGGGTTGGAGGGAGACAGTAGCTGTTTAGATAAGCTCAGTGAGTTATAGCCCTGGAGGCTAAAAAGGCCATCAGTAGAAACATATAGCTCTGGATGACAGCTATTCCCATGTCCATTATCATTAAGGGTTCAGCCGCAGCAGCCTGCCGGTTAGGTTCAGAAAAAACATGACATCGAGACAAAAAAGAGTGGAGAAATGGAGGGGAGAGCACAATGACACAGTAAAAATGGAAGCTAAAGTAAACAGCTAAATTAGCATAATTAGAAAAGACTAAGGCGTGAAATGCTGTTGATAAATAGAGGGTAACCCGATCAGTCTGGGCTCTAATCAGGACACTAATCAGTACCTTGGTAGAGATTTATTTAAAGCAGGAACCAAATCCAAGGCCCATACCCAAATATGGTCCTGTTGTGTATTTAGTGTTGGGTTTACTGGGAAATAAACAAAACATGTCGCTGAAGAAATAATATTCTCACATTTCCTTCGTCTCATGTTGATTTTGTGGCCCCTTATATTTATCATTGTATATATATATAGGTCTTACTGAAGAAATAAAACTAGATTACTTTTTGTACTCTCAGACATTGACAAATGTGTCATGGTATTGTATCACCAGTGTGAACAGTTTTGTTTTAAAAAAGGACAGAAAAGAGTCAAATGTTTGGCCACGAAGTAAATCCATTTTGAACCGACAGAAAGGTGTGACCAAATTAACTGATGGGAAGTTTAGCAAACATCTTTTCATTCAGTTTGTTTTTCACTCTAACGGTAAAAAAGACCAACGTTTAAATAGATCCCTTTGCCATTAGACTCTATGAAGCAGTCAAGTGGTGACACGTTAAGATGAGAATTAAAGTTCAAAATTGGCCCGACGGTGAACTGCAGTCAAGTGTACTTGGTGTGATTGTGTTTACTTTAATTCTCATGCATTTGTAAAAGACCTTTGAATGTGTTACCTGCAATGCCAAGAAAAATCAATATATCTTTAGCAGGTCCAGTAAGTCAAGAGTTTGATTCTATAGTTCTTCTCAAGGCGACTAAACAAGTGTCAAAGGTCAGTTCTAGAGGGCTTTTGCTTTTCAGAGACATTCTCCCACATACACCCACATAAAGCAGGGGGAGAAAAGTTATATCAACAATTCCAGATTGAGAAAGAGTTCCTCCCCTGCATATCTGCTCACCTATGCACATAGACATCTTTATAAGCAGGGCAATAATGCGGAAATGTGTCTGATTTTCTAAATTGAGGAGAAAGTCACGAGAAGAAGATTAAACAGATGCTGTTTCATGATCTTTCACAAACGTCGTCCATCAGACGCTGAGATATTTAAGATAATTAGTACCTCCTGCTATGCAGGACTAATTGGACTCGCTAGCTGTTTACTCTCTAGCTGGAGACATGTAACAGGGTATGTTATTGTGAAATAGGTTGACAGCGTTGAAGCAGGATGTTTTATCATGTTCTGCATGGGTCCAGAGTGTCATATCCTCTTGCCCCGGATCCTCGAGCGTCCTTTTGTCCTGCAACAGGTGTTCATTTATTCGCCAGCAGCAGCCTACAGGCACGGGGAACATGCCATCGATCTCTGCTCAGAGGTGGTAAGAGAGGTGTGACGGTGGGGAGTCAAGGTGACAAAACATTGGAGGTTATTATCTGATCGAAACTACCAGCAGGTTCAGGCCGGCTTTGGGCAATGAGCTAGGAAATACTAAGAGGTGTCCTGTCCAGTAGCATCTCAGGCAGTTCAGTTCAGTTCAGTGCAAAGCTCAGATAAGCACTAGACCAACAGTCAGAATGATCGTGTATATTTTTATAGACCATTACTCCTCTAGGGATGCCTGTCTTGTTGTTTTCTCTTTCTATGAGAACTTTTTCTTTTTCTGTTTAGAATATCTGCTCACTTCCAATTCGGCCATACAGTGTGACTCTCTGCCATGTTATTCATAGAGTTGGATTTGTGTCCACAGTAGTTAGGATTTCGTCGTAGCAGACGTTATAGTTGTGTTCACAACCCTTTGCACTCACAGCTTTTGGATTCACACTCAAGCGAAAACAATCCCAACCAACACAATTCTTTCAGATTCACGTATGCGGAGCAGGATTTTGTCTGTGTTAGTGGGTACTGGTGTCATGGTTCATTGATATTAGATTTTCCCCAGGAAACAAACTGTCTTTTCCTGTGTGCTTTCTGTATTTTGTGATATGTCCAAGGCCATGGATTTGCTTTTATTCTAGTGCTGACGTACTCGTCATGTCACACCCCATTGTATTCACTGTCTTTCTCTTTGAAGAGGTGACCACTAATTTGGGTGAATATTTAATTTACAAAAAGCAGGAACACTGAGTCCAACTCCAGTCAAATTGACTGAATGGTGCCACCATGTGTTTTGGAGTTTTGTACGATGCTCTTTATAGTCTTTATGTCAGTGAAAACTGGCATAAATTCGACCATAGATCCAGCCCATAAATCGAACTAAAATCATTGGCATGGAAGACACTGCTTATTAAAATGATATAAGACCCTATTTTCATCCTGTATCTTGGAAAAAAAACTGAAACGTGTCAATATAAAAAGGTTCTAGTGACTTATTTGACCGCTCTAAAGAAGAAGCAGCTTCCTTTTGTTTGTTCCTGCCCTTCTGTCCATTGCTCCCCAATCATGTCCCTCCTTTTTGAGGACCTGAAAGGCTTGGAAGCTAAAATAAATCCTCTACAGATACAAGCAATACAACCTGCTGCCTTTGAAGTCAATATTTAAAAAAAAAAGTAAGACCATGGTGAATAGCTGTGTCTTCCTTCCTGCTCCTCTGAGCAACTGTCGAGTGAACTCCTCAGGAAAATACATTCAAACAGCCTGCTTATCTTTTCATATAAACTTTGCCACCTTGATGGGAAGGCATATTTACGAGCCTCTGGCAAGACACCCGTCATGAAAGGCTGTGTGCATGCCAGCGAGGCAGATGACTTTGAACCTCTGACTTTAATTCAGTTAGATGGGACACCTGCGCCTCTTCACAGGGGCGGGAAACAAGATACCAGGTGAGTCCCCAGATCTGCCGTTGTTTTAGGAGAGGACATCTGCTTTATGCAGTTAAGAAGCTTTGTTCATTACCATGCTCCGTTAATTCATAACACATCCAAGGGCCGCTTCAGTGAAACATGGTTCACCTTGGGTGTATGAGGTGTTTTGGGACAGCTTATCTTGATATCTTCATAGCACCTTTAACAAAGAAAATAAGTTCCACACACAGCGAGGTGACCGGCTATTTGTCAGGTCGAGCTGATACTAGAGCACACTCTGCTGGATCCCAAAGTAAAATGCTTTCGTCTGATAAGTTCACCTTTGCAGCCTGTGGCCCGAAGCATTTTCGGCCTGGCATTTTCACATTTCTCCTCAGACTTTTCCTGAATTCAAAGGGATATTCAAATCTGAAAGAAAAAGTCACGGCCCTGAAAGGCGCAGCAGCACTAAAAAGCATGCTAACATGGCCCTTTAGATGTCACATAGCTTCTTAAAAACAGGTATTTAATGGTTGCTCTTCATGAAAATTTTCAGCTAGGTTAAAAAGTTCTTTACAAAGCAGATTTTGGCATCCATATGTGTTACAATGGTAGCAGCAGGTTAGTCTATGTACAATCAGTAGCTAGAGGCTTGTCCCTTGAGAAGAAGTTGTGGTGTCAAAATACTCTGCAACCCTTTGATAAATGCGGAGGATGAATGTGTGGCTAATGGAAATTTAAAATAGTAACAGCCCAAAGTGGTCAGTAGGACACACCAAGATTACACAGAAACTTGCATTAACATTTATCACTTTTTCTGTGGGGAGAGAGGGGCATGAATGTTCTGACCCAGTTACCCAGTGGATTTAGGGGGGGGTTGACCTCAGAAGGCTGTCAGCAGAGCTGAATCTCACTCTCTGTCGCTACTGGGATAAGATGTCCCCACAGTCTCAGATACGATGACCTGAGAGCTTGACTGAACAGTCTCAGATAAAAAGTAGGGCGCTTGCTTCTCCAACCTTGTGAAACAATGAGCAATAAGCACATTAAGACTAAATGTGTGCCCTGAATCTTATTTGAACATATGTAACACTTTGCATATGTAACAAATGTCAAATTTTATTGTACAGTGAGTAAACTGACTTAAGCTTATTTCCACTAAGGAAATTCCAAACCACAAATCATAGCTTGTCAGATTGTGCCTGAAGTCTGTTATTTCTGCCTTCAGTTAGCTCTTCCTCACTTATCGCCACATTTGCCCCTTAGTTTCACAGCCATCCTTTTCTCGAACCTACCACCTCCCATCACCTCTTGACTCCCCCCTGTCTCTGCACCCCCCTCTCTGTTTGCAGGCGGAGTGGAGCTGGGCATCAATGCAAATGGACAGAGACTCAAGCACTGGTTTGAGTGTCTCAAAAACAAAGGCAAGAAAGTCGAGTTCTGGCATACGCTCACGCAACAAGGAGCTCCGAGCAGCGACAAGCCAGACTAGATCATGCAAGACACCCGGGCAGACACACTCATGCGCACACACACTTTTGACACACTCGCTGAACTATGGTTGACCAGTCCGAGAACGACAGCGATCCAAACAAAGGATAAAACATGCAATAACAGCGATGTAGAAAATTGAAATCCGTTATTTGTTGCTACTAAACACAGCACAAAGTATTAGTATTTGTTCATACTAATATTAGTGATGGTACTAAGGTGTAATCTGAATACTTTTCTTTTCAAGGTGAACAAAAAATTGTGACGATGTCCTCATTAAAGTGTTAACGTAACAAAACAATGCTACAAAAATCGTGGTTAGACTTCACTGTATTGTGGAAGTTGCTCATAGTCTAAGGTACTCAAGGCTGAGGTACTCAAAACATGTCATTCAGAGAAAGCAGCCAGCTGCATGTACACCCTGGTGACTCATAACGTGGTACATAGATCCAGGAGTGGGAATGTTGGTGAGGCGTCTGGTTATTTTAGTGGCTGTTGATCTGATGCAAAACAACAATACGTATTATACTGTAAAGCACAAAAATGATCCATCTAGTGGATTGGTTTCCCTTATCATTTTGGTGTTTTGTCATTTTGTGGTGTGTCAGTGGCAGTGGTGTTCCACCACCTTCTTGTCACACGGTGACGTGTCAGCATATTTGAGTGTGCACGAGTATTTATGTGTGCGCGTGGAGGTCTGGACAATAGAGTGCCTACATTTTCCGTGTGTGCAATATGTATTTCTCTGTATTCTCTCCATCCTCCATTTCAAGATTTTCTACTACAGAAGCACTGAGATGGGAAGAAATACTGATTAGATTCAATGAATTGAGAAATCCTCTGCGACCATCGCAGGCTTCAGCGGCGTGAGTGTTCCTGGCTGGACGTCAAGCAGTCCAGTCTTTTGCACATCTCACTCCTCCTGCCGGACATTCACAGAGCTGCTTCATGAGTGGAATAAATCTCGGGACATGGTATCTGACTTCTCTTTTCGACTTTGGGGATGAAAGGCTCAAGTGAAGTCCGCAGCAGGCACAATGGATATTGCTTTTGGATGTATTGCGTGTGCTTTTTACTCTGTTGCAGCATTGATGAACCAGATTTCATCCGGATAAAAGAGAATTTACTTTATGCCAGTGACTCCAACTCTGCTCCACCACATGTGATGCAAGATTTTCTTTCAGCAGCGCAACGACAGATGATTTTTAAGTTCATAGAACAACAATTTGATTGGTCCGGTTGTCTGACTGACATGAGCGGAGCACCCAAATGACAAAGTTCCCCTGACCCACCACTGCATGCTCTCCCTGAGAGGTTCTGAAGGAAGACATAATTCGAAATTTAAATCAATCTTGCGTCAGCCATCAGAGGGGAGTCAGTGCTTTGATCAGAGCTCTGTTTTGCCTGTTATTTCTGACCTTTTAGAGATTAGTCACAGTAGCAAAATTTTTCATCCTTTTGGACAGGAAATGTGTCCGCTTGCTGGTCTGTGCAATGCACAATTTCCTGCTTAGGTCATCTGTGCAGTTGGTAGAAAAGCAGACACACAGAACAAATCCCTTTCTTACAGTTTAACCTCAGGTAGTAAAAAAAAAAGAATTATACCCAGTGTGGCAGCTCATCTGGCAGAAAGTGACAGGGAATTCTCACTGACTGGGATCTAAGGTATCAAATGTACTCCCCTGGCTCCTTTATCATAACAACTCCGATTTCACAAAAGCATACATAAAGTCTGTCAGTGGCCCCTGAGGACTTCTGTAACTGATAATTGGTCTGGCTGCTCATATCCTGCCATGTCCTTGTGAATGTTGACTACAAAAAAAAAAAAAAGGATACATCCCATGTCCTGTCCGATTGTAACAGATAGAGTTTCTCCTAAAAAGGGCTCGGGATTCATAACAATTGGGAAGGCATGAAGAGTTTGTCAGTTAGATCTTAAAGACTTTGAAAAAGTACGTTAGGAAACGGTGGGGGTTTTGGGTGGCGGGGCTTGTTCTGTCCTTCGTCTATGCACATTAAAAGTCCGGGCACGTCAGCAATGAGATAATCAAACCAAAACTACACGATCAAGTCATTACAGAGAATGCTCAGTACTTTCTATGAGTTTAGGCTGGGTGACAGCGATAAGGCGGAGCCCGCATTTCTGACCAGATGATTGCTCATTTCTGTCTCTGGATCTGTTGTTTACAGTCACAGGTTTCTACGACTCTCGTCTATTGACCTCGCTTTGCTTATGTAATTGTTTATCTGCAATACAGCTGCATGTTTAGCAATCACCATCAGACCATCAGCTTGCATAACAGAGTGCAGAGTTAGCTGATCATTCAGGATACTGATGTGTTTACAGTCTATGCCATTCATTTGTGTATCTGTTTTGTGAAGATGACAATTCAGGGTATTTTTTGCTCAGTTGCTGTGCTTTACAAAGCAAGCTCTTGCTTTAACAAACAAAACCTTTACCGTCACAGACTTTGACACTTGTCTTCCTTAAATTGCTATCAGTGGTAATGACGCAGGAAGACTGGCTCTGGAGGGAGGTGGGAGATCATGATTGCAGTCCCTGTGTATTTATTGTCAATGTCTATCTTACAGTATGGCTGCCATCCTGTGGTGGGTTTTGTGTAACAACTTCACAAAATAAAAAGAAGCGTTTCAGTTGTCCTCTGTCCTCCTTTGAACCACGTGCTTAATTACTCAAAGGAAAAACTGTTTTTAATTATTTTTTATTCTTTTTGACGATATCTGAGGGCACTCAACCCCCAAGTGGGGACGCAGGATTTTTTCTTTTTTTTAAAGGATCTGTCGGAGCTGCGTCATTCAATGTTGTTTTTGTTTTTTTATTTTATTGCGCGGCCTCCGTTAACGATTAACTTTCTTCTCGTCAGCCCCTCTTTCCCTTTTCTCGCTCACGGTTCGGTCAGTCTGCCGATAAAGAGCGGCACGTTTGCCCGCTCACTCCACAGAAGCAGAACGAAAGGCCGCAGGGCGGAGAAAGACGGGTAGGAGCGGGAGAACGACAGGCTGGTCACAGCTCCGGCCTCCACTCCTTTTTCTGTCAGCGCCAGGAAAGCTTTGTGCCTGGCTTCGTCCAGAACCACGTTTTTCTCCGAGTCGAGGCCACACAGACTGGCACCCTCGAACAGCGATGACAGGCCTGATTGGTGGATGAGATGGATAAGATACAGAAGGATCAAAGATCAGATTAAGACACATATTGGATCTTTGTGGCTGTTAGTGCAACACTGGTTGGACGTTCAGCAATAAAGCAAACATTTTGAAAGAAATGGACGTTTTGGACGAACAAACCTAGTTTCTTGATCAGTATGTTCATGTTTGGCTCCCCGTCCAACTTGATCTGAGGCAGAGTCACCTCAGTCACCTGGGGTGACACTTCCTTCAGCTGCCGAACCATTTCCAGGACAGCTGAGTCCGTCATCCTCTCCTCCACCATCCGCAGACCGGCCTCTTGGCGGCTAAAAGGCAGCAAAATGTACAGACTGCTTTCCCCTGTCAGGTCAAACTTCGCCACCTGTCAGAATTATTCTGGAGTTATTTTTAATAAATTGGGTAAACACTGAGGTCACTATGTTGCATGCTGGTGCCATGGCACCATCGACCGAACCACATTCAGATATAAAAAAGAAGTTTACCTGTGCTCTCAGGTCAGTACTGTGCATGGTCTTCGCCATGTATTTCGGGTGATGGAGGAGAGGGACAGGAACTAAATCCCCATTTAGTTTGGTGAAACGTCCTTTCTTTGGCTTTTCACCAAACTTGACTTTCCACTGGCCTGGAATACACACACACACACACACACAAACACAAGTCTTATTACAAATGTACATTCACGTAAGTTCGCATAAACAGAGAAAGAAAAAACCCTTTGCTTACCACTAAAGGAGACAGCATTGAGTAAGATCAGCTGCGTGCTGGGTGACACAGAGTCGACAAAATGTGTGATTTTGTTTCTGGTTTTATTTGCTACCCAGCTGTTTATCATCTGTACGTTTTCCTCACTACTCTGATGCAGTTTTGAGGGCTCTGCTCCGTAGTATTCATAGGACTGGTTCATAAAAACCCTGCCAAGATTCAGCTCTGAGGAAGACAAGAAAGGAACCATGATGAGCAACAGCTAGAAGTTCTTCAGCTTTGTACGATGTCCCAAACCCCTTCACAGCACTGAGCCTCCATCACATTAAGGACAACTTGTGTAGGGCCAGGAATACCAGTGTTATAGTAGATCTGAGAGGCCATTTGCAACGACTCAGCCATGTTCTCTCTCATCTGCTTCATCTGGAAGTGAACGCAATGGAAATCATGAGGCACGCACACAGCGGTCTCAATGGCTCTGCGGGTGTCATTACGTGCAGCTGAAAGAACAAAAAAAAGGACCAAACACATCATAACTAATGTCTGTTCATAAAATCTGTGTAGGGAACTGCAAGATCTGTTGGATATTTTAATGGAAGAACATTTAAAGCTTTGTGATATTTCCAAGTGAGTTTCAAGCAATAAACACACTAATACACTTCTTACACAGTGACTTTTTGAAATACTAGTGATAATAATAATAACAGTAATTTAATAATAGTAATGATATTTTTGGGGGGTAAAATATGATAAAAAGTGTACATAAATTACCATTTTTAGAACAAATAAAATAGAGAGAAACTTCTCCTACCTAACAACAAATGGGAGAGCACCCCACTGATGCTGATGGGGGAGAAGAGTAAGTTTTCAGAAGGATATGTTTGTCTGAAGTGGGAGTACACCTTCATGGCAAACTCTGTCAGGGATTCTTGCAGAATGGTTTCAGCTGTGCGACGGTGATCTTCCAGGCAGGGCTCCCATGCTTCATTACCGTCTTTACAGGAGGGAGGGGGTGGGGTTTTGGCTTCTGAAACAGAGTTAAGAGATTTGTTATGACGTGTATACAACTGATAAAACCCTGGTGCTCTTTATCAATAACTCAATTAGAGTGGGAAATTAAATCTTTATTTTCTATAACATTTTTCTGTGTCTAAATGGCAGTGCTTGTCTCATTTTCGTGTTTTTTTTTATTCAAAAGCATTTCATTTATAAGTCATGCAAAGATCTGAACAGTGTACCTTCTACGGTAAGTTGAATGGTGCTGAGCCTCTCCCCCCCGGCGGTTTCACAGTGGTAAACCCCAGCATCTTCCGGGGTGGCACCCCGGAGCATGATGGTCTGATCATGGTCCTCTGGATAAAGCAGCTCCAGTTTCTCACCAGACGCGAGGTCATCAGCGGTGTTGAGCTGTGTTCTTTTACCGACACCGGTCTCTTTAAACCAGCGAGCGTTGGCCTTAACTTGTGTGGAAGGTGGGAAATGGCACTGGAGGGCTACATCAAAGCCTCTGGTTGCCTTGACAGCGGCGCAAAATGCACCTGAAAAGGAAGACATCTTCATTATCCATCGCTTTTTTCCCCTTTTAACCAAAGCGTTAAGAAATATGTATATAACAATATATGGGTTTAGTATAAGAAAAAGTGTCACCTTCAACTGTGAAGTTATATCTTCTAATCGTCTCCACATTGTTTGCCTTTGCCAAACACACATATTCACCCTCACTGGCAGAAGTTACAGGGGAAATGGAAAGGTACAAGCCATTCTTGATAACTCTTGTTGGGCCAGTGGACTGAGCTGAATGACTTATATCATTTCCTGTGATTAAAGATGAATGATCAAAAAGTTAGTGTAAATACTGAATATAAACGTTCTTGCTTTTAATCTTTCTGACACAAACACAAGGAAGAGGAAATTGGTTATCAACCCTGTAATTAGAAAATATAGACACCCTTCACAAATATTCTACTGTGAATAGAGTAATGGTGACTGGGGAGGGTATCATGGTTTGGTATTAAAAAAAAGACTAATTACTAATTTCCAAACATTGTTCTTCAATATCTCTTTTGCATGGGGTTGTGAATGATTCAAAGAGTCAGAGAAATCTCAGCAGTTAAAGGGAAAATTTGGAACCAATGTTGTTGCTCAGTACATTTTAAAGTCTTTTAACCGAACACATCTGTTGGCTTAAGAAATTTTATAATGCAACCTATCAAAAAGAGAGTCATGAATGAGCTCTGTCCTTCAGAAATTTTTTTTGTAGACTCTTTTATACAGAGAGATGGAGGTAAGAATTGTGATTTCTAATAACTGAGAGAGTAACAATATGTGAAGAGAAAAATATAGTCTCTGTTGGTAAGTACCATCGCTTTAAAAGAGCAAAAGTAAGCTATTTTCCTGTGGAGGGTGTAGTTATCTCATCAGGAAATCTCAAACCTTATGCCATAGAACCTCCAGCATGGCTCATCATGCAGAGGAGAATCAGACTACAACAAGCACACACTGATGAACGGCTGAAAGCTTGAAATGAGGCGGAAACAGTGCAGATTCTGATTTAAAAACTGCAACAATCTTTATCTTCAGTTTCAAATATGTTAACAGAATTTGGGTTATTTCAACCATAACGTGATGTAACTAACTGCTATTGTCCAATTTTGAATGTTTTTATATTTTCTTAAAAAAATAAAATAAATAAAAAAGATTAGGTCAGTAAACTCTTGATAGTAAAGGTTTAAACTGATAAATAAATGACAGATTTAAGCGGAATAGATAAACAAAGAGTTGTGTAATTTACAATAGATAAAACAGACACATTGACCATTGAATTTCCAGGTGATGTCTGCTTCATCAAAGAAACTTCCTGATGGGCCACAAGGCAGCTCCACGGTAGAACCATGTATCACATGGATATGAGTGCATGAAGAAAGCTAAGAAAGATAAGTGTTGAGAGTTGACAGTTTAAAAACATTGCAAAATTAGAAATGATTCCTTTGTTACAATTCATGAAACATCCTCAGTTATTTTCCACATTAATCTGGCATACCTCAAACGTGAGCTGCAGCAAGAGCCAAACTATGGCCTGTTGTCTCATCTGCAATGGAAATTGGAAGAAAGGGGGGGGGGGATTTCAAAATTGCTGTGGCGCCAAGCCAGAGAAAATATCAATATGTGGCACAGCCTACAAAGCAGTGATTTACTGCATTATTCGAACCTTCTCAAATCTAATCAGCCACCCACAAACCACTTCTGACTGACCTTAACACGTTACAGGTTGAGAACAAAAAATATGCACAATTCAAGATGCTGTACACTAAAAAAATGTACATTTCTTGGTTTCAGTGGTAAGCCAGCTAATATGGCAGACAAACTCACAGTTGTAGTTATATCCAAGACTCCAAACTCAGGTTTACCAGCAATGCCTTTCCTGCATCTGACCACTGCTAACTTCATCAACCACCTGCCCGCTCCTCCGAAAGGCGACTGACCAATGATTGATCTGTCATTGTTTGATTAGAGATGTTTGTTTGCATAATGCAGGTCTTCTGACTTGCTGGAAATCACATGATTTGTCATGTTGGCAAGAGACGCTAAAATAAATCATTAGGGTTGTTTTGTCTATGTTAATTTAATTTGTTTTTGCTTCACATAGATTTACAAAAATGTAATTACTGCCAGTGCTTTAGTTAAGTGTAAATGGACAATTGCGCCCACTCAGTCTAGTCAAATGCTGTTCTGATTAGCTGGGGGTATCATGACATTTTTTTTTGACTGAATTGTTTTGCATAAACCTGTGTGGGATACAGACACCGAATACTCACCGGTCTGAAATTGTGTTTGGTGTCCTCAACAATTTTGATCCATTAGTGAGGATAGTTTTTGAGCAAACTCTGGTCACCTTATGCCTGTTCTAAAAGACTGTCTTTTAAAGTACGGTGCTTCATTTTTCTTTGCTTATTTAAAGAGGGTTTATTTACAAAAATTCACAATAAAAATCAGAAATGTGAATTTATTGTTTTCAAAAGTTTTAGTCCTGCTAATTTCAGTCAAAGCATTTATGTAACATCAGAGGAAGCATTCGATTTCTTCCAATTCCATTAAGGGTTCTAACTCTTATGCCAACACTAAAAGGGAGGTGACAAAACTTATTTAATTTTTGGGACTTTACAAGATAAAGCTTTCTGATTAATTTCAATATGTTGTACATTAAAACAACAAAAATGTAAGTCTAACCCGCTCTAAATTCTCTTAAGTATAGGATGATAGGATAGGCAAAATTATAATCGACTAAATCTTACTGTTCGAAGAAGAATAGATGTAATATTTTGTGTATATTTTGTCCAGTTTATACAAAGTTTCCCAGCTAAGTTTAATTTGGATTTCATATTTGAAGTACCATGATATGATATGAAGTTGAGAATTGGGGCTATGTAACTATCTAACTCTTACCCACACCTCTATACCCCCTCTACTCTTTCTGCACTTCCCTCTATCTCTCTGCTGTCACCACTGATTCTGACTAGGGATTTTCCTCCAGAGAATCTATTGTGAAATTGATGATAACAGTAACATTTTCTATACTTTGTAAGTCACTTTGGATAAAAGCTTCTGCTAAATGCATGAACATAAACAAAAACATGTAACTAAAATTGAACTGAACTGAACAAAATGAAATACTTTAGCAAAAAAATTTGATGCCCAGGTCTTGTGTAACCATTTATCTCATAGGGTGTTCATTTTGTTAAAGGATGATTTCCATTGTCTATTAACAAAGTGATGCACTTGGTCCAGAATATGGTCCTAAAAAGCATATAGATCATGTATGAATGTTTCAGTATGCATCAGCCTTTCCTTTGTGGGGGGTTTTCTTTCAATAGTGAAAGTCTTTCATTACATATAGCAATGATGAATTCTTTTTTTTTTTTACGTTTTCCTTATCCTGTTGTCAACAACAGGTTCAGCTTGATTACACCTCTATTTCTATTACTTTGCGATTAGTTTTAAAAACTTTTCAAGTCTGGCTGTTGGATTTTGTTGTCGTTTTCTTGCACAATTTAACGCAGTATGCCTAAAAGTTTTCACGCGGAAGTTTAACAATAACTGATGGGTGAACATATTTCTTTACTGGCCTCGTTACGGGCTTCGTTCGCATTTATTATAGCTTTTACTAAATTAGGGATCTGGAGTAGTTGGTTCGGAAACGATCGACGCTCAATTGCACGGACTGACACCCGAACGCATCATCTTGGGCGTAATGAGGCCTGAGCAATCGACAACCGAGACGTGCGTTAACGCCAAAGAAAGTGTGGAGTCCAAACTTTTTTACGGGAGGATTTTCACCCCGACGCACGTCTAAAGAAAAACACACAATTGTTTTTATAAAGTTCTCATCGCTGGGATCCTCGGCCTCCTCCGCTATGTGAGACGCCTTTAAACGACGCGACGCCGACGTTTTTGCCTCGTTTAAGGAAAGATTCCCCAAAGACAGTAAGTTTTCCTGCTGGTCATCTGATCGGCGAGCGGAAAGAGGACAAACAATGGAAGTAAACCGACGAGAGAGAGCCAGTTAGCCAGGCCTTGCGTTTTGTTTTTTCTTTTCTTTGGTCATTTCTGTCCAGTGTGGTGACCAAATGTGCGCTGGGGTTCTCCGTTTGTGCGCCTCGGTGTGTAGACGGAGTTAGAGCTGTTTACGTTTACAAAGCGCAGCCTCTAACTAGTGGATCGTGCGTTTTTAAAGGTGCGTGCGTACGCTTTAACGGTTTAAGGGGGAATATTCCGCTTGGCCGAAGCATTAAAGTTAGTCCCGGGAGTTTTAGGGTGTGTGGATATTGCTTGAGATGGGTTGCAGACACTGATCTGTCCTCTTGCGTCCCAGTGCGCGTCAGCTCCGAGGACCTGAGGGCGTAGCTGACCACTGACCACACCAGGCATGGCCGCGCAGTTCACCATCGACGATGCCTTCGCGCTGGAGGGAGACGAGGACGGAGCGGTGGCCCGCGGAGACGCGGAGGGCTGGAAGCAGGGCAGGGGCCCGGAGAGGGAGGGAGAGATGACATTTGGCCCCCTGACTTTCTCCAAACCCCAGGCCCACCCCTCTCCCGCTGCCGCCGGCCCCCCGGAGCACAGCAGCCTAAAGTATCAGGTATGAAATCATCTGTGTGCTCTTTTTTTGAGCCCCTGGTCTGTTTGCAGCGTGCTGCATTCACTTGTCCTCCTCTGGGATTCTCTAGAATCTTGAAAACGAAGACGCGGTAGGCAACAACGGCAACTCCTCCTTCAACAACTTCTTCAAAATCAGGTAGGTTGAAGGTTCTGGACGTCTGCCTGGTTTATTCCTCCTGAGTCTGACACGAGCCCCCCCGTTTGCGTTTCTCCACAGCGACCCCTCCACCCTGTCTTACTGCAGCTCCCAGTGGTCCTTCAGCACCCTGAGCTCCGTCACGCAGCTCTCCGCGCACTGTTGCGGGTAAGGTCCCGAGCCGTATCTCTCTGTCTCGCCTTCACTTTCACGCCCAGGAAAATAAATAAAAAAACAGTAAATGGGGGATACTCTTGAAAACGTGCTCCTCAGGTGGGTGTCCCATCCGCTGGTGAAGAAAAACAAGAGAGTGGTTCTGGCTTCATTCCTCCTCCTCATCACTGGAGTAGGTGAGTCGTGGGTACTCATTAGATATAGGAATGTACCTAACAAAAGAAAAACAAAAAAAAAGTCCTGTGGTGGTGATGCTTTAGGAACAACTTCACTGTTGTGGTGTCATTTTAAAAACAGGTGGTTTAACAGATAGAGGTCAGGAGTTGCTATGGAGAAGCCAGCTTTAGAAGCCATGTCCCATCCCTTTGTTTTCCACTACATCACCCAAGTCCTCAATTAAACTCGTGGGGCATGATTCAGCCAGCGTACCACAGAGGGCTCAGCTCTCTCTAACAAATATGAGTTTACCCCGTCGTTCACAACGGCCCTTTTAAGTGCATGGAGTTGCCCCCTTGGCTCCGCTCGCCTCTCGTTTTTCTGCTGCATTTACCACTGTCCCATTCGGCTGCTCTCAATAACTCTTGAATAAGGTTATTTTTGTGTTTTCAGAATGTACAGTGTAAGGTTTGAGAGCTCCCAGAAAAAGTGAACTCACACTAGCATTCACCAGAAGGACAGAGGAGCACGTCCAACAACTCTGGCAACTTTTGGAGTTGTTAATTCATTTGGGCCTTTAATCAAATGAAGCAGAATTATCCCCTTTTGAGCAGTAATGCAAACCTCTGTAGGATGTTATTGGCAAGTGACTCCACTAAGTGAAAGCCTTTGATTGGCCTCTGTATAATGCAATTTGTTTTCACGTTTTTATTTAATACTTTCTTGTCTCCTGCATATTTATCATTAAAGGTAAGTAATACCTTTGCAGGAAAAAGAGATGACAGCTAAGGGGAACAATGCTGCTGGTGTTTACTGTGTTCAGTTTTATTGGTTTAACATTTAACTTTACGAGTAAAGAATACCACTCATAATTCTGTGGGGCCGTGTTGTGGTGTTTAGCTTTGTGAGGGTCAGGTCAGCTCTGTGTAATATGTAGATCAGCTAAGCTAAGATAAGCTAACAATCTGGACATTTTTCCATCAGCTGCATCTCCTACATCACGAACCCATAACTGTCGTTTATCCATTTCACTTTGTGGAATTGTCTGTAGGACACTGGTAATAACAGGCAGTATTCAAAGCCCAGGATTTACCGTAACAAAAGAGAGGACTGAATGTTTTTTTTAAACTTTTCATCATTCTGATATAAACTGTTCCAAATGGTTTTGCAATTTAACACCACCCTGTTTGCCCAGTGTTGTGTAAGTGTAGTCCCTGGAGTGGACTTTGTCTTCAGGGATGCACTAAATATCAACCGTCTGATATGTTTAAAATCACCAAGGGTTTCAAAATTTGGACTTGAGATGAGCACAGAATTCTTGAAGACAATGTTTTTCTTAGTCAACAAGTGTTTATTTCATTATTTATTTTTATCCTGTACATGCTGTTTCTCCACAAACATGAACAGCAGTCTTTCAGGGGAAAAGAAAACAACCAAATTGGCCAATACTATTGGTCTCTGTGGAGGAAGTTGCAGACAAAGAGACACTTTCAAGCCAGACTGCAAAAAAAAAGAGAGATTATACATACTGGAAGAGTGTCCTTTAATCAGAGAAAGGGAAGTAGGGGAGGGGGCATAGATGTTTGGAGAAGCTAACTCAAAGAGAACCACCCCTATAGTGAAACCTGGTGGTGGGACGCTTTTTCTACAGCCATCCAGCCAAACTGAGTCTGTTTGGTTGCTTTTCCTTCAAACACAGTGAGCCAAAAAATTCACTGTCCCAGCTGAAAAACTGCCTCCAGGTGACCAAAGTGAATGTAAATACTGGCCTGCACAAAGAGCCAGACTTTAATCCCTTTGGAACTCCGGGGAGTCTATTTTTTCTCTTGTTTTTTGTGAAATCATTTTCTTTCTGTTTGCAAAGTAAGGTAATGTTAGCATCCAAAAAATGAGGATTTGGGGGAAATCGTTGTTTATTAGGGTCCCCGCCCTATTAAATGTACAGTTTTCCCATTTAATTGATATGATTTCTTCTGACTGGTTTGTCTTTGCATCGTTTCTTTTCAGCTCTTATATTCACTGGTGTTGTCATACAGCTGAATCCAAATGCAGGTAAGGAAGAAATTTTAAGATAAACTGGTTTTTAGTTCTTTGACACTGTAGCTGTGTTGGTAAAAATAGAATTTATCCACTCGTAGTAAACTGCATAAACTTCATCTCGGTTGTAATTTAATCAGTTTATAAGAAACAAAGAATGTTTTTTTTCTTCTTCTAGCGCTTACTCTACCTCAGCGCTGCATTATCTTGTCTTTATGGTGCCATCTGATGCACTGTTAGTGGTTAAAATGGCATCGGCCATTCAAAGGCAAAGTCCACTGGTTGCTATAGATCAGCGTTTGTCAGTCCAGCCAGAAAAGACCTGTCTGTGCTACAGCTTAACACTTTACAGCTGCACCGCAGGCGAAAAGCAGGACAGCTGCACGTCAGGGCTGCCAGGTTTAGGTTCCCTGTGAGGGTTACGATTTCTGATCGTTCGTTACTTCTGTTTTCCTGCTCTGGGCAAACTATCTCAAACCAAAATATGAATTATGAATCATATCTACATGTTGAAAACTGAGTTCCTCTAGGAGTTAAGAAAGATTTAGTTTACACACATTTACACCCTAAAGCTAAATGTTATCCAATCCAGCTCTGATCTTTTTGCAACTTCTTATTTAAGATTGGTGTTGCTAAAGATATATATATATATATATATATATATATATATATATTAGGATTGTAACTCACAAAAATGTCCCAACAGGTGTTTCAAGTGCCATTTTCTTCGTACCTGGATTTCTTCTCTTCATCCCAGGAGGTAAAGTGATAATATACTGTGAAATATAGTGAAAATAATTTCCCTCTGGGATTATTAAAGTATTTCTGATTCTGATTCTGATTCTGATACTACAGAGATCTATGTTTCCACCACTTTACCAATGCTTGTGCTTCCTCCAGTGTACCATGTGATCTACATCAGCTGTGCTGTGCGGGGCAGAAGAGGTTTCAAACTGTTCTACCTACCTTACTTTGAAAAATGACATTTTGTAAGATACTACATTTTCACTCCATTTCTTAATTTGCTATATACTATGAAATGTATTGTATTTTGTCACCTGTACCAAAAATCATTGTCAAATGGTTGTTTGTTTTCTTCTCATTGACCACTACGACTTGATTTCCACTACATGAACTGAGGTTTTTTTAATGTGCACCCCTAAAGAAGGACGATCTCTAGCCTGTGGTTTCTGTGTTGTGTGAATGACATCTGTGAAAATACAATAAAAATGTTGTATATTTTAATGAGTGTGAAACAGATTTGGTTCCCAGCTCGTGATGTAGTTTCTTAAAACGTATGGCATTGTTTGAGACTGCAGCGATGCATGCTGGGAGCAGGTTTCAGTACACTTTTGTCAATATGCCATTCTTAATTGCTGACATAATTTCAGCCATGCAAAATTGCTTTGAAATTCAGGAGACACGGGAACATAATGTGATGGGCACTTAAGTAGTGTGTGCAGATAGGAGTCACCTGTAGACCCTTTTAGAACATAATACATAAGTTTGAATAGATAAGTGTGAGCAGAAAAGAGAAAGCAGCATGATCTCTGAGATCTGTCTGGTGGCATAAAGAACTGAATGCTGCTGTTAACAGCCCTGCCATTTCTGGGGGAGGTTTTTTCAAGAGCTTTTATCATATGAAACTAAATGTCACCCTTTTCCCTTGAGCAAATAATTTCTTTAGTTGCAATTCCATACATGTGTCACACAGAGACAAAGCTGCTTAGAAAAAAAAACTGAATCCAACCTTTCAGTAAGCAGAGTAAGATAGCAATTGAGTTTGCCAGTTGCATTTGTATACTAGTTAGATTAAATGGGAGTGTGGGTATGGAAAGTATTCAGACCCCTTTTAAATGTTCACTCTTTGTTTAATTGCAGGCATTTGCTAAAATCAATAACGGTAATTTTATTTCTCATTAATGTACACTCAGCACCCCATCTTGACAGAAAAACAAACTATTTCTGAGAAAGCCTCTGACTGAAGAAGCCTCTGTCGGAACAAGCCCTTCTGTCTCAGTGCTAAGTGTTTGTGAAGTTTGTGAACGGGCAAAATCATCCATTAGAGTCAGCAGCCAGTGTAGCACTGCCAGTTCCAGTGGTCCCTGTGCAGTAAGACAAGGCAAGACCAGTTCACTTTTGCACATTTTGTGCAGTAGACAATTAAAAAAAAAGGCGTTTTAGGTCAATTATTTAAAAGTATAAATTAAAAACGCATCTACTATAAAATATCAAAAAGAATGCATTAGAAAAAGATTAAATATAACATTTTTTAGAAAAGATTAAATATAAAAAAAATAACTGCAGACTACTCGTACAGTAAGTTACTTGTTACTAGTCGTGGGCCGAAGTAAATAGTAGTGTTTTAGTATTAAACGTGTTCACAGTAGTACACGTAGGTATCCTATAAACTGCACACAGAACAATATGTAAATATAACTCTTTTATCCACCCTAAAATTAAACACGTTCTGTTTTGACAAGACTAATATAACCGTGAACGTGGTGTGATGACGCTGTAGTCGGACTGAACGGTACGTAACGTCTTACGTAACACTCAGCTTCGGAAAACTTCGTCATACTTCGTCATTAGTCGTGTACGGTTGAAGGATGGAGGAAGAGGCACGCAAGCTTCTCGAAGAAGGAATAAAAAAGAAGCTGATCAGTCCCGGTAAAGGAGAGTTGTCGACCTTTCCCAATGGAACTAAGGTAAAACTACAGAGTCATCAGTCGAACTAGTTCCACTTAATGTGCTTAAAATAGTTATGTAACGCGACTTGGCACATTAGCTACTGAAATGCTATCAGTGCCTACATCTTTGCTAAACCTGGGACGTGTTTAGATGGAGGAATGCTTTACTAGATCGAATTTAGATATATGCGGACACTGTTGACGAACTTTTAGGTTTTCTAGATGACCAGTTGATACAGGATTACATATGGAAAAGACGGTGTTTCGATTACTGCATTTTTACCCGTTTTTTCTTTTCCATCAGATGGAAAGATAGTGGGCGGGACAGGATACCATGTTTTTAAACGCTGATTCGTCAGCTGCCCACGTCGTTCAGTCGTCTGTTGTTTTGATTGGTCAGAATGCGAAAGAGTAGACGTTCTGCAGGCTTGACAGACAACTACAGGTTTCTGTTTGTTTCCAGTAAAAACAACCCAACAGCTACACCCATCCCACGTAGTTCCGAAGTACTTGTTTCACCCGACTGCCCCTGCCTGTGTTGTACCTGTATTTCTGTTTATGTTGTCTTGTTTTGTCGTACGTCAGGTTGTCTTTCACTATCGCACCAGCCTGTGCAATGGCACGGTGTTGGATGACTCCAGGACCATGGGGGGCCACTGCAAACCCATGGAGCTAATGCTGGGCAAGAAGTTTAAACTGTCTGTGTGGGAAAGAGTTGTCATCACCATGAGAAAAGGCGAGATTGCTGAATTCACCTGTGATACAAAGGTTAGAGCTCAGGGCTCTGGTTGATGGTTCGTGTGTTGTCGTTTTCCCCCAGTGCTGACTGCTTCCTGTCACATTTCAGCACACAGCGCTGTACCCGCTTGTGTCCCAGTCCCTGAGGAACATCAGCATTGGCAAGGACCCCCTGGAGGGCCAGAGGCACTGCTGCGGAATTGCTCAGATCCACTCCCACCACTCTTTAGGGCACAAAGACTTGGATCATCTTAAGGCGAGCCCACAACCTCTCGTCTTCACCATTGAGCTGCTGGAGGTGAGCAAGCAGGAGACAGTGCCGGGGTCTAATACCTTTTCATGCTCTTATAATACTTTTGTAAGTGGCTAAACTGTGTTGTAAGCCACTAGATGTATGTTTTGTGAGTATGCCACTTAATCCAAATAGTAAACAAGTACAGAATCCAGTTAGTGATACTGAAGGAAACTATGAACTGTTAAATTCTTACTTAAATATGGATCCTCAGAACACACTGTAAGTCTTCTGTAAAAAACACATGCTTTGCTGCTTTAGGTTTAAGTTGATCTCCGGTTTGATCTCTGCACAGGTTCTTCCACCCGGATCCTACCAGCTAGATATGTGGGCTATGACTGATAAAGAGAAGTTCGATTTTGTGCCTCACGTCCACGAGGAGGGCAACTTGCTCTTCAAGCAAGGCAAAATTAAGGAAGCATCAGAGAAATACTACAATGGCATCGCCTGCCTAAAGAACCTGCAGATGAAGGTTAGGAGACGTATATTTAGCATAGTTCTCTGGAACACATTAACATACTGTTTTTTTGTGCTGGAGTATCAGTGTGCCCCTTTCATCCTTTCAAAGTGAATCCAAGTTTCTCCTCACTCCTCCCCCCCCCCCACTCCTTCAGGAGCATCCTGGAGATGAACGTTGGATCAATTTGGATCAAATGATCACTCCGCTACTTCTCAATTACTGCCAGTGCCTGTTACAAATGGGACAGTACTATGAAGTAATTGAACACTGCTCCTCTTTGGTCTTCAAATATGAGGGTAAGGCTTTGCTGTTTGCTGTGTAAAGACAAATATTTTGGCACCACAGCAACTTTTCATGGATTCAGACAGAAAGCAGATTTGTTCTGGTTTGGTTCTTTAGTTTTTCACTCGCCAACATTGTTCTTGTTCACAGTTTTGTTCGTTTTTCACTCGCCAACATTGTTCTTGTTCACAGTTTTGTTCGTTCCATGCAAAGTTTTTAGTATCTGTTAAACTGCTGCGCAATTAATCAGACAATCAATCTCCAACTTTTCCTATAGCTTTGGATTATTCATGTTTTTTTGTTGTTTTTTTTACATGGAACAGGCGTAGGCTAAATATTTTAGGAGGGATCTTTTGTCTTACCGACAGCAGTGCTTTTCAAAAAATGTTTTTTAATTCATTGAGCCATAAATGCCAACCATCTTCAACCAATTTTGACCTCCAGCAACTTTGGTCATGTATAAATGTCCTTTTAAAGTTTGCCTTAAACTTATGAGAAGATTTCCAGTTTATTTTGGTACATTAGAAAAGTTGCTTTATAATTTATTCTCTGCCATACTTTGACTATTCCAGAAGAAAAATGATTAAACCTTTAAGCTGAATTTGTTTATACAGTATATGATAATAAGGATGCTTCTTTAATCATCCGCCCTCGCTGTGGATCCTTCCCATCAGACAATGTGAAGGCCTACTACAAGCGGGCCAAGGCTCACGCCGCAGTGTGGAACGAAACAGAGGCCCGGGCCGACTTTACTAAGGTTTTGGAGCTGGACCCGTCTCTGGGACCATCTGTGTCCAAGGAGCTGAGGGCCATGGAGGAGAGGATCCGCTCCAAGGAGAAGGAGGAGAAGGGCCGTTACAAGGGCCTGTTTGACTTCAACACGCGGCCAGCCACAGCCACTACGGTCAGTCCAGTTTACTTTTCTAATTCCATTTAATGGCTTTGCAACTGAAATGATCAGAGCATTAATGGAAGAAAATGTTGTATTTTTCTCCATTCCCTCACAGGGCTGAAGCTCCTCCCTCAGACACGAGCATGCCGATGACTTAAAAGAGGGAGGGAAAAAAACGGAAGACACACTCTGTGTTTTAGTTTATCCAAAGCCAAATATGCTGCCAACCCTGTTCACGACTTTCATTCCTGCCTCACTCATCTGGACTCACAATTAATGTAAAAAAACATTTTTTAAAGTGCACTGAAGCGTGCTGATATCATCAGCTGGACTTCAAAATTCCTGGTCCATAATTTATCTTTGGTTTGCATACCCCCGCAGAACCATTTCAGCACATCTTTTTCCCTCCCCTAAATTTTCTAGACTCCAAATTCAGATGTTCTGCTCTATTTGGCCTCTAAGGTTTCAGAATTTTTTAGTATTCTTGCTCTTGGCTGTAAACATCCAGCTCAACTGCAATATTAAGATCTTTCACAACTATACGGTGGGTGAACCCATCCCCCCCCACCCCTCCTCTAATGATTAATTCACTACTTTTTTCTTTCTTTCTTCTTTAAATCACAGCACTATAAAACAAGTAGAATAAGAAGAATGATAGTTTGCCTTTCCTTAAATACTCAAAAAGCTGTCACTTCCACAAAGAGGAAAATTATCTTTTTGGGGGGGGTTGGAGGCACACTTGGTGTCCACTATTGCCAACAAGCTCACCTTACCACATGGAGGGTGGAACATGGGGCCGAAGAAGTCTGTGACAATCATGTGTAAAAGACATACGCTTGCGTTTTCTTTGCTTTCCCTTATGTACTTATTTCATGTATTTAAAATCTATTATTTTGATGTTGCTGTAATTCCGATGTACTAAAACACCTCACTGCATCCTCCTGTCTGGCAAAGAGCGACTTGTTGCACGCGATGCGGCGAGTAATTAACCTGTGAGATATTACTTTACTTTTGTTGGTTTTCTTTTATACAATGCATTCAGTAGATCTTTCTTTAGCTGTGCAGTTTTCAGATATTCATCAATGTGAAATCCAAATAAAGATATAAAGAAAAAAAGTATGTTTTTCTTGTTATTTAATTAAGATATACATACTGAACTGCAAAAATCTGTTTTACAAAATTTCCATACTAACAAACTGACTTGAGATGTACAGAGTTCTTGGGGATATGAAGGGGGAAGTCTCATGTTTGCCGCCAAAATAGGTTGGTAAAAGAGCTGGGAAGAATGCAAATTGTTAAGGAAAAAAGTTTAAATCAACCAAAAAAAACATTCAGTGGTTGTTCAAAATATAAATAAGATCGGTCCGATCTAAAAATCGATTTCATTCTTTAAAAAAAAAAAAAAATGCCGTTACCTGGACTTAAAAATGTGCAGAAGCTCCATGCACTCTTCAAATAGGTACAAATTATTGTTTTTGCATATGCCCAGCATGTTGTAGAAAGTTTTAACAGTAACAAAATGATCCCGGACAAAATGCAGAACCCCAGTGACCTGACAAACCCAGAAAAGCCGGCAAAGAAAGCACAAGGGGTGAGGACCGCTTGTAAAGTATCCGACGGGGACCGTGAAGAGGGCAGGCTTCTAGAAAGAGGGCGTGAGGTGGAGGGATCTTTCTGAGGGGGTTATGTACGGGCGCTTCGCTCCGTTTCTGCGAGACATTCCCGGACCAGCGCGCGGGCGTGGATTATACCTGGAAAAACGAGTCCAAATACAATGTGTGATTAGAGGGAAGAGAGACAAATGAGTTTATTTCAACCGGACATTTCTTAAGGCTGTAAAGGCAACATGGCCGACCCATAGAGAACGCCTACCCGGTCGAGACGTGGGTAACACATTCATAACACATACCAAACCGCATTAAAATCACAGCTTGTGGTGACAGCAAAATTACCTCTCTTTAGCCTCTCCATGGCACTCTTGCTCCCGGCGTACGTTGGCCTGATCTCGCGGCTCATCTCCTCGATGACAGACAGGAGCTCGCTGTAGGTGGACCCCTGCGACACTTTGACAGGCTGCCACAGACACGTTTACGTGGCGTTTGGATAAAAAGAAATGAAAGGTTGGTTTCAACAGCTGGAAATTCATGTTGCTCGATGTTTTTCAAAGAGCTGCATTAGGAAAAGTTGATGGAAAACACACACACACAAAAACATTTTTCATGTTGTGAGAATGACTTTATGTCTGCATCTTATTTCTTAAGTTTTTGTTTGTTTTGTTCTTTTCAGGTAAAAACAGTTTCACACACCAGCGTGCACACGCCGTAAACATGTAGAACATGTGAACAAAGCTCAGAAAATCCAACAAAAGTCACTGAGATAACCAGACAAAAAGGTAATTGCCTGTTTTAACGAGGAGTTTTCCAACTTTAATGGAGCCTTATCAACAGCCACCCCACTAAAAAAGACAAAAAAACTATAAGCTTTAATCTATAAGATAACCTGAAATTCTATTATTATAGAATTATATACATTATAAGATTCTCACAAAAATATTCTTGGCTTTGTTCTCAACAATCAACCTGCTTTCACTATCTTTGGTGGACCGACTGTTACATGAGATCTGCTATATATGAGCACACATGCACGACTAACAGTCAATCTAATTTTTAACCCTACGGGAGATTCTATATACATATGTCTGCAGGGCTCCTTCTTTTAACAGGGAAAAGTGCAAACATTTATCTTCCAATTTCCCACTGTGTTAAAGCACACTGGAGGTTGGACATGTTGGTGTTCCATTTCATTTGCACTCAGTTTGAAAACCTATGACTATCACAAACTTGCAGCCAAATAGAGAATGTGATCACCTCTATTCCTCCCTTCCATGCTTTGAATTTAAAGGTCCATTCAAGCTTATGTGTACCCTAATAAAGCAAAGAGTCAGATGCCCTCTTGGTCATGTGACTCCCCTTCATGTGGCTCACATAGCTCTCCACCATTAGAAAGATTGGTAGGGAAGGGCTCAATTGAAAACTAATTCAACCCCTTGTCCATCATAAAATAAATTGTCCGTTTTCAAACAACCAAATAAGACACCATAAATGTCAGACATTCTCTATTAGTCTTTTAAAAATCTAATTTTAAAAAAATCTATACTGCCGAGACCTTTCGCCTGCTGAATAATATCTTATCTGTATGAGAGGGTTACTATCGGGTGGTGTGTGCGGCAGACATACCTGAACAAAGCCCATAGAAGGTGGACCAAAGTCACTGAAAGCTGGCCTAAAGTTGGATGACGAGGGAAGAGATGGGGAAGGCACCGAAGAGCCTGAACAGAGGAGAAAAAGACGCACCGCACTAAAGCCTTAGCTTGGAAGACAAGAAACAGGGAGGAAACGTGTTTCATTTCACTCACTACGAGTTACTGATTTTTATGAGCCTTTTCCCATTTCTGTGTGCACCTTTGAGAACTGCTGCACATGGCTGCTTACCACATTTAGCCTTCAGATAACATTATCTCATCAATATAACCATTCATTCCTTTTAAAATACAAACTTATTACAGAGGTCAGAAAAATATCTAATTGTTTTAAAAAATTGGGGTCAATCGCAACGGTGGCAAGATATTTAAATGATTGTGAGCAGACTGGGGGAAAGCATGCTTACTGTCCCAACACGAAATGGGCAAATATGACAGATTTGTTGGGGATTACCTGGCGGAGTGTGGTTGGAGCCAGACGGTGCCGGAGCGATGGGTTTGTAACTCATAGCGATTTCAGCAGGCAGCTCCACGTACGACACGCTGCTTCCTTCTGTCCCGTCGACCCGATGCTTATACAGCTTTACTGTTGATGGTGGGCTCCTAGGAGCTGGTGCCAGGGAAAACAGACGCACGTGCACAAAACAGAACTGAATTTTCAATCAACAAATTTGTTTGTGGATTTTGACACCGGCCATAAAGTCCTTAACATGCGTCCTTCGAGCGAAGGAGTACTCTTAGAGAGTTTAATTCATTTGTTCAATTACATATTATTCCTAATGACTTTTCTCAAAATGTATCTGGTGGGGGAGAAGCCATTAATTTGAGTTATAGCAGACTGAAACAAGCCAAACAGAAACACACTATTGACAGATATTGGCTAAATCTGGTTTTATCATTTAAAATATTGATTTTAAAAATAATCCTTAATGGTACTGAGGCATGTTTGCATTCCACTACCAATCCAGTTCAGACCTACTTTAGTACCTTACATGTGTCTGACTGCCCTGACCCCATGATAAAGCCTCTCAGACCACTTAGTAGCAATCTGATGACACCGCATTACAGCCATTAACACAAAGTGTAACAGGCACATTGTACTAACCGGAAATTAATCCATTTTTTAGAACTTAAGTATTATTAAAGGTTCAAATCAAATTACTTTGCCTTCTCTTCTCAAATCTGTCACATAACCTCGCACTATTGGAATGACATACATACGTGAGCCGAGATTAACCACTACACTGAGTCGGGGTTGTCACCTCTGTACACACAGTGCTCACTTGTCATTCAAATGTGGCCAAAACAGATACAACAATCACTATGAGTCAATCATATGTGTTTTGCTAAGTGCTATACAACATTTGGAAGCGCCCAAGTCTGAATGTCATCGATCAGAGTAATGTTGCAAGAGCGGCACCAGAGGTGGGGAACGAAACAAAAGCTGACGTTAGCTTGAGAGGAAGGACCCTAGCTAACTACTACTGCTTGGTAACGTTAGCTGGATTAGTTAGCTTTTGCCGGTTAGCATAACAACCTAAGTAAAATGTATTTTTAAAAAGTAACGCTATTTCGGTGGTGTTCTGCTCAATATCAATGCATAATGAAAGCTTGGCTACACACGTGATCATTGATGAACCACGAATAAGACAGAAATTCTTTACCTTTTGCCGTTAGATTAAATCTTCAGTGGGACCTGAGCCCTAGCTCTTCCTCAGTGTGTGTGAGCATGCGCAGAGAGGGGAGCGTCTACTATTCTTTTTTTTTTTTTTTTTACATTTAGAGTGATATGATTGGTTGACAAAAGAAAACTCTTTGGAAACGATTGTAAATCATTTTAACGTGAGAAAAAACACAGAATTACATCAGACCATGGAAATTAATGCAGCCACTGCCCCACAGTGATATAAAATATATATTAAAAAAAGAAAAATATTCTATCTATTTCTTTCATTATTTCATAGACATATGGACAAATTAATCGGGATGTTGGTAACTTAAGTAAGACCCAACATAAGGTCTGTAAAACACAGCTGGATGTAAACTGATGTTTCAATACAGCAGGTGAATTAAAATAAACAGTCGAAGATCATGATGTCTGGACTAAATTTTGGATGTGAAATGTCAATGGAAGTTTTATTCATGTATTGTCATTACAACTGACTAACTCAATGTTTGCAGGGCAACAAAGAGACAAACAACCACACACACTCACATTAACTCCTACGGTCAGAATAAACCTAACCAAATCAGGATTCTTTGTGATTTAATGTCACTCATAAGAGCAGACCCTGAAAAATGGAACTGTCTTTAAACTTTCATTCAGCCATCCATTTTCTCTATCCATCCATCCATTATCATTACCGCTTATTCCCTGGTGGGGTCGCGGGGGGGAGTGGAGCCTATCCCAGTGGTCAATTGGTGAGAGACGGGGTACACCCTGGACAGTCTGCCAGTCCATCACAGGGCCACACAGAGACAAGGGAGGACGAACAACCACGCACACTCAAACTCAATCCTATGGGCAATTTGGAATGACCAATTTGGACTGTGGAAGGAAACGGGAGAACCCGGAGAGAACCCACGCAAACTTAGGGACAACATGCAAACTCCACACAGAAAGGTCCTGGTTCACCCGGGACTCAAACCCAGAAGCTGTGAGGCGATGGTGCTGACCACCACACCACCGTGCAGCCCCTTTAAGATTTGTCTTAAACAATCAACAGAGAGAAAGATGGCGATCACTTCTTTATTGTCTGATAAAGCAATACGCAGATGTGAGCTGTTTGTTGAAAATTCAATCAGTGGAAGAGCATTATGTGATTGTTGGCCCATTCAGCACCTTGAAAGTAGCAGGTAACAGAGAAAAGGTAAACTTAGTTCACGGCTTAGAGCTAACAAAAGGGTGTGGGTTGATTCAATATAAGGACGGTGTGGGTTCATTTTAGTTGTGCAGTGAAATTCAAGGATCAAAGTTTCAAAGGATTTGAAAAGATTTTCATTGCCAATTATTAATTACTTGAGAAAATGAACAATGAGAACAATGTATTCTGTTGTACAACAGAGTGCAGTATAAAAAAACTAAACAAATGCACTTTATCTTTTTTTCTAGATTTTCTTTTTGCCATCCTCCTTTTTCAAAATTTCTCCAGGGTTTTTAATCAATCTGTGTTTTTTTCTTTCTTCTGCATTGTGGATTTGAGAGAAACATTCAGCAAGTAGGCAGCGACTGTGTCAACAACAGATGCGTCAGGAGATCAGCTTGACTCTGTAACCATTTGTGTGGGTGGTCCAAGTACTGTTTTAAAGTGCAGTGCTCAATCTACATCCTCGCAAAGAGGGAGAAGAGAGAAAACTAAAACGTGTGAAAATTAAATTGGAGTTGATGTTATAATCCAGTTCTGGTTGCAGTCAGTAGGTGGCAATGAATCACATCTACATCCTATGACTAATATGCAGCACAGCGGCAGATGTTACATCCCTTAAAATGCTTGGAAATAATTCATTTCACATATAGGGAGATTCTTATAACTGTGTATAAGGGAATAACATGTGGGTTATTAACAGAACTGAAATATTTTAGCTCACTAAGGCTGATCTCCAATTGATTCAGATAATATGATTTATGTCTTTAATGGTCGCTGTTTCTAATCATTCAATTAGAATTTATCATGGCATGATTTTCGGAGTCTTGTGATTTGCTGTAAAGCAAGTTTGTCTTCCAGATTAACCTTGATTTTAGTGTACAAAATATTTAAGTCAATTTAGATATTTAAGGCTTATCCCTGGGATGAAAATGGTCATTTATAGTGCTCTGAGACCTTTGGCCCTGTCACTCCATCCCTGTCTGGGCGAATACCCATACAAACAATATGTACCAGCAGATTTAAGCACATGTGCAAATTCATTTTGAGATGCATATCCCTCCTTAAATTAACACTTTGGCCCAAATGTCAATCTTGGGAAAAATCCAAAGGCTGGACAAGGTGCTCTACAGAGCACCTGACTGGCCACTGAGGTCGCATCATGAGATCATAAGAGAGAAAAATACAGTCACCAGTCACACTGTGGCATTATTCCACCATGGCAACTACCTCGAAAGAGGATAGTTAGCTAAACAAAACGAGAACAATTATCATTTTAATTAATATCTTGATGTGTGAAACAACAAGATTCCCCTAACAGTCCAAAAATGTGCATGTTCAGTTATTTGTTGACTCTAAATTACTCATAGGAGTGAGTGTGTTTGTTTCTGTGTGGCCCTGTGATGGACTGGGGCGTACCCAGACAGGTGTATAAGGCGGGATAGGCTCCAGCCTCCCCTGTGACATGACATGGAATAAGCAGTATAGATGGATGAACGGAGAGTTTAATCATCTCTGTTTACTTAACTGAGATCGTTGCAACTGTCAGCATTGACTGCTGCTGCTGACATCTACTTAAGTCACTGCCATTCCTTCTCCTCCTTCTCTTTGATCTTTTACAATGTTTTAAATGTTTTTTCTGCATTTACCTCATTTCAAACCCTCACAACAATAATGAAAAAAATATATAATAATTTCCCCTACAAAGAGCAGGATAAGCAGTGCTTTGTCCAAGTTTTTACAATGTTTTTTCAAGGTTTGCTGAGGTACTTTGGAAGTGTTTTTTTCCCCTCAATCTTCATGAATTAAAGATGTGTCTTGGGCTTAGCTCTCTTGCACAGGCAATTCAAAGGTTTTCCCTTGATGTATCCCTTTTGGAAACCAGGATGACTCAGAACTAGAATTTCTCATTTAATTGTACTCTCAAGCTCAACAAAAGAGCAAATGAAAATGGAGGGAAGACTACACAACCCAGATGATTCTTTGTAAATACACTGCCCCGGCTGTTTACCAGAGACTCATAAAAGATGAAAGTTTTCTGTCATAACCTGACCATTTGAGCTTCAGGACAATTTTGAGGTAATTTTTACTTTACTTATCAGTGAGGATCAGCAGAAAACACATAATATTTCTCATCTCTTCATAAATCATCAAGTCCACCCAGAGTCCATTGCATCTCTACATAAGATACAAGAGGCTGGTTATGTCTAAATAATGGGAAACTGTTACTTTTTGGTAACGTCAATATGAGCTATTCACATTTATCTAATGTTTGAACTTTTCAAAAGTGGACCAGCTTCGGGAAAAATCATAATAACTTTTTGACCTACACACTTGTAAGCGTAGGAGGCAAAAGCAATTTAATGTTACAACAATATATAAATGTGGAGTTTCAGTTAGCCCAGAGAGAAACATCCTTGGCAGCAGGGTTTTCTCGGTGCTACCTCAGGTAAAAGAAAGAAAGACACTGGACAAATCCCCAGTGATTGTGTGGAGAGCTGACATACCCAGTAAACAAGGCTATTTTAGAGAAAAACTTCAGTGCAGAGGAAATAGAAGATGTTTGAGGTGATGATGGACTGAAGTATTGACCAAGGTTTTACACATAACGCTAAAACCCTAATTGAAATACTTGCAACTGTGATAGCATTATGAGACCTGATCGAAATACTTTTTGTCATGTTTTAGTTTTGAGATTCAAAAGGCTGCTTTGAACTTTGCAGTTGCTACTCTCTGCTGCTGCTGCTCTCACACCGTTTCTTACATTTTCATCCTCAAAACAGTGGCCCCTTTCCTTAAGATACTGATGAACCCCACAGACTTTAGAACTGAAAAGGCCTTTCTGAAAAGGAGTGAAGAAATGGAAGTTCAGTTGCCCTTTCTCAAATTCTTAGGATTTGATCCAGACTTGTTTTCCTGAGCTTAGAAATATCACGAATTTGATCATATCTCATTTCCTATTTCCTTTCATCTTCACAGATCCAATGGACACTATGTTGACATGCGGTTTGTAGGATTAATGGCTGGTTCAGTTGGTTCCTGCTTTAAACTACTAACAGCTAGTTTCTTTTGGATCGCTACAACATCAAAAAAGAAACTTGTTATCAGTGACTGTCTTGTCAGTGTAACATTATCTGATCTTCCCGTCCTTCTTTATAGCGCCTTCAGATCTCCGCCTTTTGTGGATTTGTGTCTTTGCTGTTTCACCACCAACATCCTAACTTCAATTCTTTTCAATTCTCATTTTCACTGCTTAATCTTTTGACCATTTTTGTGGCTATTTGTGTGTGAGCTTCAAACTGTATGTGATCCCCTTTTTACAGTTTTTTCCCTTCATGTGACAAAAAGCAGCAGAAAGTAAAGAGGCTGTGCTATCGTATTAGGAAAAGGGCAAACGTTAACAGCTATGTTCCTCTGCAGCAGAACAGAAACATATTTTGAAAGCGAATGACACACAGGGATCATAATTCTTTGTAAGATTAACTAGATTTAAAACAGATAATTCTTTTCGGAACTATATCAACAGGGCAAATAAAGGTACAATGAAGACTTGAATAAAAGGTAGTCTGAGAGAAAAATATCAATGTGTCAGCTACAATTTTCCAAAACAATTTTTGTACTTTGTGGAGGTGTTGAAGGGTAATGTTGAGCAATATACTGATTAGTTACACAACACTGTACAAGGGAAATATGAGCCTGACCCCTTAAAATGACTGCTAGGCATCATCGAATTCTTCAACTCTTCAATTCATCATGTTCATCCATCCATCCATCCATCCATCCATCCATCCATCCATCCATCCATCCATCCATCCATCCATCCATCCATCCAGTTTTCTGTAGTCCTTACTCCCAACAGGGTCATGGGGCACATCATGTTGACAGACAAGCTGCATTACATTGAATAGATTAATTACTGTGTTGCA